AGTGAAGTCGCTATCTTCTTCTTCTTCGACTTCCTTCGCTTTCTCTTTCATAGTTTTCCTTCGGATTGGTGCTTTTCTTTTCGGGGTTTCTTCTTCGTTCTTCTCCTTCTTTCTCCTAATAGGAGTTCTGGAGGAGGAAGCGCGACTTTCGACTTCGTCGTCGCTGCTGCTTTCTTCCTCTTGTTTTCTTCGGATCTGGTCCCTCTCCCTAGGGTGGAACGAGGTATCGTTGGCGCGATGCCCTACTTGGTGACACTTGAAGCATCTCCCTTCTTTAAGATGTTTCTTTAATTCTGCGTCGGACAGACGGCTTATGCGATCGACTTCCATATCGTCGCTTCTTCTGGGAACGTAATGTTTGTTCCCGAAGTTCTTTTTCTTCTGCTGGTGGGGTCTCTCTTTTCTTCTGATAGCCTTCATCCTTTGGAAAGCGTTATCGAGGTTGATGCAGGTATTGACTACGGTGTCGAAGTTGTCGAGGCTTTCACCAGTACGGTGCATGCTTTCTTGGAGCCCGTAGTCTAGACCTTGTCTGAAGAATTCGATCAGGGGGGCTTGTTCAGTCATCCCTGCCCTGTGTGCGAGGAGTTTGTAATTGGAGATGTAGGTGTGGAGATCTCCTTTCATTTCCAACTCTCGGATTTTTATCATAGCGGTTCCGGCGGGGTCCATGGGTTTAAAGGCTTCGTCGAAGTCCTTTTTAAAGGTGGCCCAGCTTCCGTAGCCGATTATTTGACCAGAGGTGTCTTTCCTCTTGGGGTCTAGGGCTGCTTCCATGAAGTCTTCTGCCCATATCGCTGCGTTCCCTTTTGTCATGTAAGACAATACTAGGATGATCTTCTTCTTGTCCTCGTTATATACCTGATCGTTGATATCAAGGTACGCGTGACATTTCATCATGAACCTCTTGGATTCTTCTCGGTCTCCATCGAATTCAGGAGGGGAGCCGATCTTGAGTTCTATATCTTTGGTTTTGGTCGTCATGGTGTTCAAAGGAGGGATATTTGGTAGGGCTCCTAAGTTCAAGGCTCCGATCAAAGGAGTTAACGAAGTCGTGGTGTCGGTGTCGTTGCGGATGGCAACGGTTCAGTTGATAAGACTTTAATCTTTTGTTACGACTGGGATGAGTCGAGCTATCTCTGTCTGAATAGGCAATCGGCTGAACGCCAGATAGACGTAAGTCTGCTCTCGATTGAGAGATCAAAGGTTCTGGCTAAGGCGAGTGTCGCTGACTCCCTTAGAATAATGGTTCTTAGACAGTAAGGTTGGAGACCTTACTGAAGGACAATGTTCCAGGTAAAACCCAGTAGATTAAAGTAAGGAATACAATCGTAAGTAGCTAGGTTTATATACGAATGTTCAAGCGGAGCTTGTAAATGTGTTATCAAGATAGAAGCATGATAAGAGATAAGGGATCAAGGATAAGGCGGACAGCACGCTTGGTGAAGATAAGAGATAAGCATGATACGGACAGCCCGTTTGTAAGCAAGGTAAAAGAAATGAGTATAGGGGCTAAATGTTACTGTAACACAATAAGTGAGTCGTTTTTTTTTTGCAATGGACTCCAATGGCCAATATCTTATTACAGATGGAGGCCCGATGTTCTCAAAATACCCAATAACGCCGTCATTCAACTACTGGAGCTGAGTGATATGTATCTTTGCAAAGATGCACGTGTCTACACTGTTCGTCATCTCCAGCGCCAACACTACTCACCCAAACCAACACAACTTATCTCACTCGCATTGAAGTACAATATCAAAGACTTCTTTCCGCATGTTTTTGAGCAGCTTGTTTCAGCTCACATCAATGATGTATCTGACGAGGAACGTCACACGGTTGGATCTATTATATGGAACACAATGTTCAAAGTCAAGGAACGCCTCGATGTACACCGTCGGATCATCGCATGCGAAGCCCCGCCCATGGTGCATGCAGCAACTTGCATGAAGCAAACGAGATGTGAGGAAGACTGGAAGCAGCTGTGGTGGAACGGAATGGGCAGGTTTTTGCTGGACGGACAAAATCCACAACCTTACAAGGATGCTGTTGAACGATTCGAAAAACTTGACATTGGAGAGATCAACTTGGACTGTTGGAAGGCGGTGTTATATACTGTAAAAGCTCAAAGCACTTTTGATCACGAGCGGACACTCATCACTCGTACAGCTGACAATCTTGCAAAATGCTTGATCGTTGAGCCCAGCTTCGAAGATTTCAGCCATCCAGTTGATTAGAAGTACTACCTACTTGACATAGTACTAGTATGGTATCGCGCACTCGGTGTGTATCGCGCAGTTTATTAAAGTGGCATTTGGAGTGTCATAGCCATTACTAGCAATTTATGTAAGGGTAGAAATATTTGATAACAATATAACAGTGTGGTAATATATCACAACTTACCACCATAGGCCCACCAATATTATACATTTGGAAGATTCCATCACTGTAGTCTAACTATTTATTCCTTTATCATTTGATCTACAATTGGGTGACTTTCCGTAGACCTGAATAATGCGGTTTAGAATAGAATAGAATAAAAAATACCATCTAAGGAAACCCTGCCACGATGCCGCTGTCCATTTAGGACGACTTTCCCGCGCATTATTTTCTTCACCCTCTTACAAACTCTAAATCTGTAAGGGCCCCCCCCCTTACAGATTATAATTGACGGATTATTCCGTTTTAGGCCACTAACGCCCTTGCTATCTGCTTACTCATCGCTTAGTAATCTACATCTGAGGTCCCCGTCTCGCGCATCTCCTCCATAGTGATAGTTATTGCCTCGTTCCACCATCTTGCAATATACAGGAACCACTATGGCCCAATTCTTAAGCTCTCTTGTGAAGTTTTAAGAACGGTCTCTATCACGTGATTAATAAAAGTTCCCACACCGCATGTAACACGGATGTCAACTTATTTTATTCAAAGTGTGTTATGGTTTGGTTTTCTGTACAGATTATCTTTGGCAGATATGTTTCAAGGTCCGTCATATTCTATTTTACATTATTTGGCCTACGGAAAGTCACCCATTGTGATGTATATTTTCAATATTATTCATTAGACAAAACTAGCTAATTCTTTGTCATACTGCAGTCAATTGCCTGATGTAGCTGATTAAAGCGACAATCTGACGATTTCACATGCAGCATCCAGTTATAGCTACGCACAAACTGTTACTTGCCAAGTTGTCATGGGCGTCGATATTGCAGAATTTAAGACTGTATACCTGCACGATATGTACACCTAATTTTGCATTTTCCAGTTTGTTGCCTTGGAGTGGAAGGTGATCGCTCCTAAGGTGCACTCAGGCTGATGATTTGCGGGTAAGAATGAAGTTGCACAACACTGATCTGGCATGATATCTCATGCATCATGTGGCAAGACATAATTTGCGATCGACGTGATAGTCTAGTGTCCGAATTGAGTGAAAGCGTTGAATGCACCCCACACCATATAGCATCGAAATACAATGCTTGTGAAGAGCTTGAGAACAAGAAACCAAAGCTCCATGTGCACTTGTGAGGTAGGACGAAGATATGCCATGAAACCAGTCATTAGCCACGAAGCGTATCTCACTTGGTCCCCGCATTATGTGTTAAACCAATACAATCGAGTCAACATGCACGATGATGTCATGCTAAATTTGAGCAAGTTGCATCGTTTCAATATTCGATCATTGGCGGCCTTCGAGATCCTGCTGTGCATGTCTCATTAATATCGACCAAGATTGCCAGGAGTTGCCGAACAGTCTGAAATTTTTGTCAAATTCCGACTCATCCATTGACTAGGAGAAAGACAGACCTTGATTACTGGCAATCATTGGTGTGCAACAGCCGTACCGCTCGGACTTTCTGAAGAGGCCTCCAGCGGCTGTTGTCAGTTTTTCGGAAAGGTTTCTGGCACCATCGTTGTTCAGAATCAGTCAGCCCTGTGAGAGTATATCACAGTTAATCTCGCAGCCGTTGTCGGTGCTGAGTACATCTAGGATTTTCTGAATGGACAAAGAGGCTCTACGTATACCCAACCTCATCTATTTTGAACTTGTTCAGCCTGTCGAGGTTCTTTCACTGTTGACAATGGGAGAGTGACGCACCACCTTCCAAAACATTGTTCCGAATGGAGCATGCTCAGACTGAAATTTTTCAACGCTGTTTACACACCGCCGATTGGTTTGGAGTCTGAAGGTATCTGTTGCTGCTTGCCGCTCTATGGTACTCGAGTATGCAATGAGAGTGTGACAGGTACGCCTATAATCCGACATCCAAATAATTGAGTAGTCACGGCAGTTGCTGCAGCAGTCGCAGCAGTGGCGCAGCATTTTCACCCCTTCGCGTAATATGACTTGGTTCTGCATGCAGCATGGTGCTGCAGTTCCCCACTTTGTTGGAAATGAAAATTTGTGACACACGTTTCATATCATCAGGGCCAAGGTCAGGATCCATTTTATCCACTGGCGGGTGCAAATGATGCGTTGCCAGTGTCGCAAAGTCCATTCTTGAGCACTGCCATCTAACACTTTACAGCGATATCTTAGAAACGATATCGCTTGAACAACGTTTAGAAGCTTACCTTGACCCCTCCATTTGTCAAATTCCGACTGATGCCATTGACTCGGAGAATGACTACTGAAGTTGATGTGCAACGTCGTGAAGGGGCCCTCCAGTTAACGTTGTGGCTGTGAAATATTTATAATCGATGATGAATAATCTGAAATCCGACTCGGTGATAGGCATCAGTTCTTCAGCTTCCGCCATCGTTACTCAGAATCAGTCAGCCCAGCGCTAGCTGAGCATATCACAATTAATTTCGCAGCGCTGTGCATCTAGGCCTGCCGGTGCTGGGTGCCATCCAGGATTTCCTGATGGCCTACAGCCAGCCTGACAAATCTATCTATTTTAAACTCGTTCAGCCTGGATATAAAACACACGATGTCGATTGCCCAGATTTTCAATCAATATCATTCAAAGCCTTTCATACCTAGTTTGCAATAGATCACCATGTCTGCTTCTTGGACCTCCGCACTCTTCTCCCCCATCCGCGTAGGCAACATCAACTTGCAGCACCGCGTCGTCCTTGCCCCACTCACCCGTATACGTGCACACGCAGATCACGTCCCAACCCCACAAGCACCAGCGTACTACTCTCAGAGAGGGTCTACCCCTGGCACTCTTCTTATCACAGAGGGCACGTTCATATCTCAGAGGGCTGGTGGTTATGATAATGTCCCTGGGATATACACCGATGCCCATGTGGAGGGATGGAAAAAGGTATGTTGTATCTTGCTTAATAATGATGAGAGTCGACTCACGCCCCGGACTGCAGGTGACAGAAGCCGTCCATGAGAAGGGCTCTTTCATTTTCCTACAACTTTGGGCGCTCGGCCGCACCGCAGACACAGCTGTTCTTGCTAAGGAAGACAATAGTCCCCTCGTCAGTGCCTCACCCATCCCCCTCTCGGGAAAAACAGACGTGCCACGCGCGCTCACCACGGATGAAATTAAAGAATACGTTGCCACGTATAGCACTGCGGCAAAGAATGCCATTCGGGCTGGTTTCGATGGCGTTGAAATTCATGGCGCAAATGGCTACTTGATCGACCAGTTCATACAGGACGTCAGCAACCAACGCACAGATGAATATGGCGGAAGCATCGAGAATCGCGCAAGATTTGCACTCGAAGTAACGGATGCCATCGTGGAGGCCATTGGTGCTGAGAGGACGGGGTTCCGAATGAGCCCGTGGGGCGTATTCAGCAGTACGTGTCACATCACATCATTCAATACTAGCGATCTTTATTCAGCTGATTTGTGGTGCAGGTATGGGCATGGCAGACCCCAAACCCCAGTTCTCCTACGTGGTTGAGCAGCTGCGCAAACACAAACTCGCATACATCCACGTCGTAGAGCCGATGCCTGCCGAAGTCACTGCTGAGAAAAACAGCGATTTCCTCCGTGATATTTGGCAAGGGGTTGAGGGCAGTACTTTCATCAGCACAAACGGGTATACCCGGGATACCGCAATTGAGACGGTAGACAAGAAAGGCGGCCTCATTGGATTCGGGAGGTTGTTCATGCCGAACGTGAGTCATTTGTTTCCTCGACTAAGCAGTGACCAACATGTAACCTTTACTAGCCCGATCTTCCATTCCGTCTGCGAAAGGGCATCGCGCTTGAGCGGGGTGACCAAGCGACATGGTACATGGGCGGTAATCTCACACCGGCAGGTTATTCGGATTGGCCCTTTGCGCCAGAGAATGATCAGCAATAGAGCAGGTCTTGTAAGTAATATACCTTAGAATAGATGTTACCTTACTGTATACGCTCGATATCGTGCTTAATCTTTATCTCAGTCTATCTTACGCATATCATGTACTCCTTCTACCCAATACTGCCTCTGCTTATTTCTCATGCAGCAGTGTTCTATGTATTGCTCTATTAACAACAGCACCAATACAAATGTAAAAGTACTCACTAGTTTGTCGCTACGTGCAAGTCGCCTTGTTCTCAGAGTGGGAGTCCTGGTTGGGAAGCCATGCACGCATGGATGATGATGACCAACTTCGTTCACCATGGTGATCGGCCTACTAATGATGGACCAGTATCATCGGGCTGATTAGTATGATCATCCAAATTCATCCTCTTGCTAAATATCGCCACCTGTCTATAATCGCCTGCCTGCAAACTGCCCCATACACCCACGGACTTATGCAGATTGATTGGTGCTGCCCAAGTGATCGTCGAACTCCAAACCATTGTGCCTGTGCAACGTCTCCTTGTAATACTTGCCTCCCTTGAGACAAGTCTGCTCTTTCATGTTTGAGTTCCCATACTAGCATTGTATTTCTGCTGTACCATCCTAATTATTATTCTGTAGTATGAAGATTCCATACTCGTCCCATGGCCCGGTCCATCCTGCATTCCTTGCCTGGGGTTCCTACATGAGGGCCAACTTCAGACTTCTCGAGTATCGTTGAGGAGCTAACTTATTACCTTCAGCCTGTTGTATCCCACAATCATCTGGCACCTACTCATTTATTGCGCTTTAGGTACAACACATCCAGCACCCAGTATACTGAAGGTGAGGTTGTGTCCTTGCCCCTGGAGTGCAGTCCAAAGATTCTGCGGAGGAGGCACACGGGCCTGAGCAGGTTATATGAGGATCTGGTGCTGATTTCACTCCAGTGGCACTGGCAGCGGCACTGGAAGCGGCGAGGATTGTGATGTAAACAATTTGGATGAGCCTCATGGTATCTAGTATAACCATGCATCAGCCTATGATGTGACCATGCTAGGAACGCTACGTGCCGACAAAAGTCCAATGTGCGAAAAGTTGTTCTGAAAATGTCTTAGAAGAGCTATTATACGTTGGCTCAATGAAATTGCATAGTGTACCACATTAAGAAAGGCTACTCACTGCGACAGGAGGAATTGATCTGAGGCCTTTCCAACCCAACTGCGTTGATTTTATACTTGTTCTCGTTAGTACTGTCACTATACTCGGAGAAAGTTGTAACCGAGAATATATGCAGCTCTGATGATGACTCATAAGATCCATCTCCTTGGCAAGGGCCGCAAGGCGCACCAAGTTGGTGATAGTCAAATCCAAGTAAGATCGAGCCAGCGGGTCGCAGTGATCGCAGGAAGGCTAATCGCTATATTGGATATTTGCATGGTCCAATATTGGCCACAGCTTTTGAGCGTTCTTGGCCATTTTTGAGCGGAGCACAAGGATAGTGGTCAAGAGATAACTTAGAGTTGTTGGCATTTGGCACATGGGCCAGGTGAAATTGACACAGCCCTGCCGCGCCTGCCGCAGTCGTGACGCGCCTGTGACGCGGCATATGTGACGCGGCACTGTAACAAATTCCTACCTACAGATCATGTTTACACAACTTCATATCGCATTCCAAACACTTTGAATCATCGTTAATGATCAACATATGAGTGTCTGCCTGCGTACAGCCTCTATAGTGCTGTATTCACCTCTCACCAATTTACAGTGCTTGTCCTCTGTGTTCATACTACTAGTATGCACATCAGCAAACCACAACTTTTCCCACAGGAAGCACAAAATTCGTGTTCCTGTGCAGCTAGCGACAGACTCTACAGTTCTGCCAGGGTCCCAGCGCACTCGAACCACAAAGCATCCAGCCGCTCACAGTTCTACACGGCCTACAGGACTGTGCAGCACAATTCAATTTGTATACTATCAATGTAGTACTTGTAGTACTTTGATGATTCAATTAGTACAATGCGTTTCGAAAATTTTCCTAAGTCCAAACTTGAAATCTCAGAGGCAGCTAAGTCCAGAATTCATCATTTTTCAAAGACCTTGTTCATTTTGAACGTTTAAATTCAAACGCAATCATTATATTACAATAAGACAACATCTATTGCGCAATACATTTGAATATTTATATACTACATGCATGGTATAACGGTAAATAGACACGATAGGGTGGGCGTTCAGAAAGTCTCGTCTCTGAGTCATCAATCCAACTGGACCTTGATGTGATGACATCCAAGCGATTCTATATTTATTATTTGACGTTAGCGCTACCAGTGTGACAGTTGTATGAACTTACCTTGAAAATCACTTGGCATGCGTCCATGATGAGAAAGACCATGTTTTTTGAACGCAATCCGCATGTGGCCTATTCATACATCCGCCTTGGCGAGTTTTTGCTGTGAAATGTCGGATTTATGCTTTGAGAGTAGTGATGTGCGGGCCCGGCTCAGCCTGAAAGCCCCAGCTTAGGCCTGGCTTTGGGGGGCTTGGGCTTTGCAAAAGCTCAGGCTGAGCTGTGAGCCCAAGCCAGGCCAAAGCTGCGGCTTGGCTTGGGCTCAACAACGGCTTTCAAGAACAAAATGATCCAAAATTCAATCTAAGCATATTTGTAATGGTGAGCAATCAACGACACGCGCATACCAATGTAAATCGGTACTCCGAGTCGCGCGTGAATTCACCCAGGTTGAGAAGCTCCACCACGCCATTCCCAACACCACAAATGCCATGCGCAAACGCCCAGCGCATGTCAGCAACTGCTGATATGGCTCAAACGAGTGCGGACGACAGACACGAGTAGGAGGAGGGAAGAGGATGAGGAGATCTCACGAAGGGTGATGCCTGCTAAAAGCTTAGCGGTCCATCGTGAGGAATTTGATGATCGGACGACGGACCTTGTGCAGAATATACTCGTATATGTTGGTGACAAGCTTGAGGCTCTTGAATGGAATGCAAACACCACGGAGTACGATGAGGACAGTGATACAGATGGGAGCGTTGAGACATCGACTTCTTCTGAGAGCTGCCATGTGGCTAGCAATGATTGTTCCAAGCACTCGTAGATGCGAACGGGATTATTTGAAGAGACAGTTGCCTTGCAGAGGTTTTCATAAATTTTTAAATGAGACGAACACCTGATGTACCAACTTCAACCCAAAATGATGAGGGGCAAATTCGACCACGCGGACAGTGCCTCTTGCATCAACCAATACACCCATCTTGAGGAACCACATGAAGCAGCCTGAGGAGACCTCTGTTGGATTATTGAATGGAGGGATGTACATGGTTGGTGGATTAGCTGGACTGACCCTGTTTTCATAGCTACATGGTCACAAATATCGAGGCCGATAAGGGACAAAAAGCTGCAGCCTGAGCCGCCGGCTCAGGCTTTTCAACACCTCAAGCCGGGCCCTGGGCTGTGGTCAGGCCCTGACTTGGGCCCGGCTCGGCTTGGCCTAATCAGGCTCGGCTTTGGCCGGCCCACGGCCTGAAGCCGGGCCGTGCACATCACTATTTGAGAGACTGGCCATGACTTCGTGTTCACGGAGCAAGCAGTCAGCAAGCTTCTTCTCTGCATTGAAAACGTCTCGTTTGGCCCTTGTGAGGTCCATGATGAGGTTCGCTTCAAGATCGTCGATATCATAGATTGTCTATAAAATGTTAAAGAGCATTGTCTTGTACATAGCAAACAACTTACCATTGACCCGATAGCATCCACTACTTCATACAAGTCAGAAATAGCACCGGATGGACACAGAGGGTTAATGCCTGCATAACAATGAATGGGACGGTGTGAAGTTGATGAGATATTACTTATATTAAGATGGACTGGTTTGCTGTTCGACATGGCACATAGAAAATGTGTTAGTAATACTGCAGTGATTCCGAAAATGAAACTTAACGTTCTCATGATTTGGCTTACATCCAATCTATCTATGTCATACCAGTGTCCGTCGTGCGGCAAAAGCAACTTCCAAGATCATAGCGCTGTTGCTCGACACATGAGCCAGCCCCACTCTGGCTGTAACAGTTGGCTAGAGGATCTCATAAACTTATGTTCAGCATCTGTTTGTGCCACCTCCATGGATATGGACCATGAACCAAATATTCCCGACTTGAACTTAGACATTGACCCTGAGCTTGATGGGCCTGTATTTGGACATCCAAGTTGGGATGAGGAATTTCAAGGTGGTAGTGGTGAGGGTGATAGTCAGGTCAACGAGCTAACCGACTCAGGCTTCATCGACTGGTATCCCGAACCCCCTCAAACATACGGCAGGGGCTATACATTCCTCGATCTGTTTCATTCTGATGAGAACAGTGTGTACCATGTCACAAATCATTATTATCCGTTTAGTGGCTGGAAAGAGTGGGAGGTTGCATCGTGGTTACTACGTTCAGGGTTGAGCATGGCAAAGATCGACAGCTTTCTTTCACTTGAGATGGTCAGTTTTAAACTTTTTCATTGCATTCACGGTTCTGACAAGTATCCTGTTAAGATAAAAAGTCTTCCGTTATCATTTTCGTCAGCCAAGGAACTACGTAGTCAAGCCGAAACGCTACCCAGCGGACCATGCTGGTTGTCCCAAGTCATCCCTACAGTACATCCGACGAAATTGCCTGTCATTTTGTATTGGCGTGATCCCCTGGAGTGCATCGCGAGTATTTTAAATCACCCTTTCTTTCACGATTGGATAGATTTTACGCCTCGCAGGGTGTATACTACAGCGCAGCGATTGTGTCACGTGTACTCTGAATGGATGACTGCTGACGATGCATGGAACATGCAGGTGCATTTTTTCTTTCTTTCTGTGTTGCTGTACTTACTTTTTTCAAACAGTCAGCCCTGCCAAGAGGTGCAATGCTCCTTGGGACAATTTTGTCATCTGACAAGACCAATATCTCCATGATGACGGGTGACAGAGTCGCACATCCCCTCCTCATCAGCCTCGCTAACATACACAGGTCCATGCGGCTCAAATCATCATCTAACACTTTCGTTCTTACCGCCCTCCTCCCGGTACCGAAATTTATCTATAAAAAAAATGTATGCAAGGTGTACTCGAAGATCGCCTAATCCACAAATGCTTGAATATCGTGCTATGTCCTCTCAAGCAGGCTGCTCGCGAAGGAGTCATGTTGTCTGATCCTGTTGGACACAGTCGATACTGTTTTACACCGCTTGCAAGCTACATCGTCGATACTCCAGAGGCCATGATGCTGGCTAGTGTTGGTGGGAAAACCTCTCCAGTCACTATGGCCATGTATAAGCAGTTCGGAGACTCTTTCCGCCACGAGCCTCGGACCAAATCAACTACACTGGCCCAGCTGCGCATCATCCGGACAAGGGCTGATCTGAACGATATCGAAGCATTCTTTTGTGAAGCCCAGATGTTTCGCTTAAACGGCGTATCTGAACCATTCTTCGAGGATTGGGTGCTTTCTGAACCATCTCATTTCCTTACTCCTGAGACACTCCATCACATTCATCGAGAGTTCTATGACCACGATGTGAAGTGGCTCATTTGTGCAGTGGGGGACGCTGAACTTGACTTTCGCTTTTCTGTGCTACAGCCCATCACAGGGTTTTGCCATTTTCACGGCGGCATTACAAAGCTCAAACAAGTTACAGGGTGTGCTCAGCGCGACATCCAGCGCTCAATCATTGCAATTAGTGCAGATGCGGTTCCTAGCGCCGTGATCACTGCCATTCGAGCTCTAATGGACTTTTGTTATCTCGTGCAGTCACCTCGTATTGACGATGTTGATCTCGAGCACATTTCTGCAGCTCTCAAAGTGTTTCACGCCAACAAAGACTCAATTTTAGCTGGTGGATTTCGGCGTGGTCAGCATGGTGCAGTCATCGATAACTGGTATATCCTGAAGATTGAGCTTATGCAGAGCATAGTTCCGAGTATCCGAAACAGTGGAGTTATCATGCAATGGACCACTGACACTACAGAACATGCACACATCACCGAAATCAAGGATCCCGCATGCTTGAGCAACAACCACGACTATGATTCACAGATCTGTCGACATCTGGACCGCACTGACAAATGCCGTCGCTTCGAACTCACCACGAATCTGCTGGACAACATGCCAGGCTCGAAGCAGCAGGTTGACACAGATCATGGTGATGCTGTTAATGATGACGTTGATTTTGATGTTGACGACGATCATGACATCCCAGCAGAGCTTCTTGCGACCATTGGATGTCCTGGCCATTCACGCCCCATCACCAATCACTTTGCAATTGTGAAGCTCCTCCAGTACAGAGAGGTGGGGAGCCCCTTCAGTGACAAATTCCGTATTATACGGGCCACCCGACCTACATAATATCCCGTATCAGATGGGCCAGCGGACCATGGGCCCATGTTGTGTATATCCTCAATGATGACAGATGGGCCAGGTAACATATTATTTGCGATGAAGACGGGTGGGCCCATGTATGCCAATGATATATATATCCTTGATGTTGACGGATGGGCCGGGGGAATATGATCATTTATGGAGATGGGTGGGCCCATCTGGGTAATATGTAGAGTAGGATATTATAGACAGCTGGGCTGAAGAGAGAGGTAAGGCAAATATTGTTATATAGACAGGTGGGCCGACAGGGGTGTATTACATATATGGGTGGGCTGGGGTAGCGGAATATTACATAGACGGGTGGGCTGATGTGGGGCATATTACATATATGGGTGGGCCGATGTGGGGAGTATTACATATATGGGTGGGCCGACATAAGGGATATCAAATAGACGGGTAGGCTGAGGGTGCGACAAAATATTTATTACATAGACAGGTGGGCCGAGGTGGTGGAATATCACATATACGGGTGGGCCGAGGGTGTGATAAAATATTTATTACATAGACAGGTGGGCCGAGGTGGGGTATAATTATATAGACAGGTGGGCCGACGTAGGATGTATTACATAGATGGGTGGGCCAATGTGGGGGATATTACATAGATGGGTGGGCTGACGTGGGGGAATTGTACATAGATGGGTACATATATGGGTGAGCCTAGATATGTTTCATCAAGACATACAGCTGATGTAGCCACCAGCGAATCAAACACATAGGATACATGCACACTATGAGTGCATATACCTACCATCGACCACTGAAATCTAAACCCGTAAGCACAAAAACATGAATCGACCATGTGTGGCATTGACCAATAATCAAGTACTGAAGTGGGAAAACCCCACACCTGAACCCTGGTGTGCAACATATCCTATTTCTACACACGGACATCAGAAGCACAACACTCGCAAAAATATAAATGTCAAATTTTCACAGTGCCGAACCCTGAACCCTGAAATTGTGGACTGCCGGGTCTCGGGGGTCGGCACTCGGGACTTGGGAAATTTGGGGAGATCAATAAAATTTGATCTACAATAAATTGGATTTACAAACAAATTGATTTACAAACTTTTGAAAGATATCTGTTGTCTCACATATCGAGTCCCAAGTTCCGGGACCCCCAAACCCCGAAACCTGGGACCCGGCAGTCCACAATTTCGGGGTTTGGGGGTTGGTAAAATGTTTATGGATATATGAAAGGTTGATTCAAACATGTTTGAAAGAGGTCTTTCATCTCAAAAATCGAGTCCCGAGTTCCAGGTAAGACATCTTTCAAACATGTTTGAATCAACCTTTTGTATATCCATAGACATTTTACCACCCCCGAACCCTGAAATTATGGACTGCCGGGTCTCGGGTTTCGGGGTTTGGGGGTCCTGGAACTCGGGACTCGATATGTGAGACAACACAGATATCTTTCAAAAGTTTGTAAATCAATTTGTTTGTAAATCAAATTTATTGTAGATCACCCTTGAACCCCGAAATTGTGGACTGCCGGGTCTCGGGGTTCGGGGGTCCCAGAACTCAGGACTCGATATGTGAGACAACATATCTTTCAAAAGTTTGTAAATCAATTTGTTTGTAAATCCAATTTATTGTAGATCAAATTTTATTGATCTCCCCAAATTTCCCAAGTCCCGAGTGCCGACCCCCAACCCCTGAGACCCGGCAGTCCACAATTTCGTGGTTCGGGAGTTGGTAAAATGTTTATGGATATACGAAAGGTTGATTCAAACATGTTTGAAAAATGTCTTTCATCTCAAAAATCAAGTACTGAGTTCTGGGTTAGTGCCGAAGCTTGAAACTTGAAATCAGTGGAAAATGAAATCTCACAACAATGTACACATGAAGATGTTTCATTTCCTTTGACAATTCACTGAGTGTCTTGTACTAACCTGACAACACAGTCCAGGCTTCAGGGCTCGGTACACGACACTCAGGGAATTGTGAAATTTCTATTTCCTTGGACATTTCACTGAGTTCCGAGTTCTGGGCGCCAAATTCCGAGTTCCGAGCTCCGAGTGCCGAGTGCCGAAGCTCAAAACTTGAAATCAGTGGAAAACGAAATCTTGCAACAATGTACACATGAAAATGTTTTATTTCCTTTGACAATTCACTGAGTGTCTTGTACTAACCTGACAAGACAGTCCGGGCTTCAGGCTTTGGGTTTCGGGGCTTGGTACATGACACTCGGGGAATTGTTTATGGAAATGAAACATGTTCATGTGTACATTGTTGCGAGATTTCATTTTCCACTGATTTCAAGTTTCAAGCTTCAGCACTCAGCACTCAGCACTCAGCACTCAGAACTTGGAACTCAGAAATCAGTGAAATGTCCAAGGAAATAGAAATTTCACACATTTTTGCTAGTTTCGAGTCTTGAATCCTGAGCTTCGTGTTTCGGGTTTTCGGATTTTGAGACCCGGTGATTTGTGGTAGAAAACTGAGTTTGTATCTGGATCAAAAAATAATGTTTTGCCAACTTGATGCAAATGAACAGTGGCGGCACCACTTCCTTAAATGGTCTTTTTTATTCTATGGACATCTGTGGACCCTTGGGTTCAACTTGGCTGTGCTCGAACATGAGACCCTTGATGGCAGGAGGATCCTCAAGTTTTGGGAGGGTGAGCTCCATCCCTGCCATCGACAGATCAATGAGAGGAGGAAGTGCTGATTCGGGGGGTGACATGGAAGGGGGGACTGGTTGATGAAGCAACAAGGATGTTGCATTGGTAGGGGGATCCGGAAGTGGAAATGATGGGTGCCGGAGGATGATTTCTCGTTGAAGACCTTCATGGAGGCATTGCAGGGTGTCAATCTTACCATCCTGCTCCACGACACGAGCCTCGAGAATTGCAATTCGAGCTGCACCATCCTGAATAGCCATTGCCATGGGCACATCAAGTGCCGAATGAGAAACTCCAGAGGTTGATGATGGAACTCCTACAAGTGGAAAATGAGGTCAAATGGTCATAGAAAATTCGAGTGACATACGAGCTGATGCAGATGTAGGTGCCTTGATGGCAGTGATGGTCTTGCTGCACCTGTCCCTGTGGAATTAATGTATCATTTACTACAATTATAAGGGAAGTCTGATACATGGATTACTGTAGTGCATAGATATCCATTATTATAGGACTGATATATCAGTACAAGAACAAAAACATAGAAAATCTCACTTTTGACATTTCTGATGTTTTTCAGCATCTTACTCTTGCATAAATAACCAGCCCTGCTCATATATTACAAGTAGTACATTCACACATATATTCTGTGCCAAGGATCAGCCCTACATAGGGCACAAATTTGATATCTGATGTACAGGGGGTATTTCTACTGATAAGAAGCCTACATAGTAATCAAGCTTGTGATAAGTGATCAGATACCTGTTATACCTCTCATATATGTCCCAGATGATGTATTTGAAGTTTTAGAAAGATCCATGAAGGACTGACTGAATGACAAGTAAAATGACATATCTGTGAAAAGTGACAATTGACATATTTTTACACAAAGTCACATTTATATATGGTACAGGTCAAATATATCATTCAAAATATGTAGGATATATGGTGGGCTACTAAAGGAACCTATACTACATACTGCCCTGAGATTAGAGGTTTGTGGAAGTAATGTGGTGTATATCTGAGTTGACCCAGCATTAAAGTCCTACTACTGTCCAACTGATCATTTTCGATGTTTTGGGTCTTTGAACTTTCCCACACTCAATTTCTTATCTATTTCACTTCCTCAGCACTCAATTCTTGTTGGATTGTTCTGTAAATTTAGATATATGATAGTGAATATATTTTAAATCTACTCCAGGGGTCTGATTATTAAATTTCGATGTTTTGAAAGTATGGGCTCCTTATAAGTAGAAATAGCAAGTATCCACACTAGCTCAAAACTCCAGCCTATTTTGAGCTGATCCTTATCATACAAAGGAACATCATTTTGGTTGTTCCCAGCCCAGTCGCTCATATTCTTCAGTTGTTTCCTGGACACACCTGGAACATGGTTCCGGACCACATCTTTTCATCCCACCTATGTGAGTTTCATGATGTTGCAGATCCGGGAGATCCATCCCGGATTGTATACAACTATGATACTCCATGGTGGATGAGACAAACTGCAATCCCGAATGAACCATGACAATTGGATCAGGTAATGACTTGCTGTATCTTTCACTACCAGCATTGGCTAGTAAGAATTTTATTCCATTTCCATGATTCATGACTAATCTGTTCTAGGGTGGTGTTGAGAATGATGGTCTGACTCTTCCAGAGCAGGTGGATCAAACCTCAGTTCCAGCACTGATGGGACTGAGGTGGATTAGAGAACACCTCCTGATATTGCTTGAGGAGCAACAGGAGGGCATCCATGATATGATGGCAGAGATGCAGATGTATGCCACCATCCTAGACAGATTGAAGATAGGCAGAGGAGAGTAGCCCTAGTCACTGAGTTCAGAATTTTGAAATCCATGTTCCATACATGATGTAATGAGTACTGAAAATCACATACCAACTTCCAAATATCTATTCATGTTCTGTGATTCAGGAATTGGGCGTCAGGGACTCGGTATTCAGAACAGTGTCGAGTCCCGAACCCCGAGCTCCAAGTCCCGAGTCCCGAACGTGTTCGTGTTCCTGTTCCATGATTCGGGAATTGGGCATCAGAGACTCGGTATTCAGAACAGTGTCGAGTCCCGAACCCCAAACCCTGAGTCATGAGTCCCGAACCCTGAGCTCCGAGTCCCGAATGTGTTCGTATTCCATGATTCGGGAATCGGGCGTCAGGGACTTGGTATTCAGAACAGTGTCGAGTCCCAAACCCCGAGTTCCGAGTCCCAAGTCCCGAACATCGGGATTTGGGGTTTGGGACTCGTCACTTGGGACTCGACACTGTTCTGAATACCAAGTCCCTGATGCCCGATTCCCGAATCATGGAACAGGAACAGGAACACGTTCGGGACTCGGGACTCGGAGCTCAGGGTTCGGGACTCAACACTGTTCTGAATACCGAGTCCCTGATGCCCGATTCCCAAATCATGGAACAGGAACACGAACATGTTTGGGACTCGGGACTCAGAGCTCGGGGTTCGGGGTTCGGGACTCGACACTGTTCTGAATACCGAGTCCCTGATGCCTGATTCCCGAATCATGGAACACAAACACATTCAGGACTCGGGACTCGGAGCTCGGGGTTCGGGACTCATGACTCGGGACTTGACACTGTTCTGAATACCGAGTCCCTGACACCCGATTCCCGAATCACGGAACACGAACCATGAAACATGAAACACTGACACATGCGATTCCCAATGTTCCGGATACCCTGACACCTGACACGGTTGCTGAGCTCTGGGTCGCTGAACCCCAAACCCCAAAATTCGGGACTCGGGACCCAGGCTTCCGGGTCTCGCTATTCAGAACAAAGTATCCTATTCCGAGTCACGAGTCCCGAACCCTGAAACCCAGGGAGTCCACAATGTTGGGGTTCAGGGTTCTGTCAAATGTGTACGGCAATCACACATGTTAATTCAAGCATATTTATACATCCTCTCCCAGTCTCAAATATTGAGTGCCGAGTTCCGGGTTTTGGGACTCAGTACCCCGGCACTCGGGACTCCCATATGTCAAGTCCTGAGTTCCAATTATCGTGCCGCAGACGCGATGGCTACTGGCCTTGCAATGGCTTTGAGGATATTCTCACAGGAAGGTCCCTTCAATGATGCAGATACCTCCGGATCAGACACATTCTTTGGGATTGGTGAGTATGACTGCCGGAATCACCATCTCATCAGATCCTACCTCGTGTCCCTGTTGAAACCATGCCGGAGATAAATTGATGCATCCAGGAGTTGTGCTAACATTGTCCAAGCCCCGTTTGAACCACTTTTGATTAGTTCGCCAATTGTTATCAGCCCTTACACTTTTTTCGAGGCTTGGAGCAAGCAAATCAGTGGCCTCCCTGATTTCCTTCTGTAGGTTCCATTTGACATTCAATATCCATTGAGTAACAATGTATATTACACACCTGGGTGGTGTCGGTCAGGGCATCTGGGAGGTACCATGCGATGATGGCACCAGATGCATCGAGAATTGTGGCAGGTTTGTTGACCAACTTTTTGCCTTCATGGCCAGAAGGACACCTCTCAAGCAACTTCGCCTCTCTCTGTTCATTATGCCCGGTGTCCTTCGGGGAGATCAATTTGCTATATCTTGCAATATCCATCTGCATCTGAACTGTCATGCAGGAATTTGAATGATAAAACGAATTTTTTGAATCTGCAGGAAGACCCACTGGGATTTTTATATGCCTTTATGAGTACATCAGCCAAGCGATCACATGCCATCACCAGATCAGTGTCTAGGTTGGGAGAAGATATGACTGGGTCTCCTCCAGTCTTCTCTGCCTTGAATTTCTGTTCGGTATATTCCCCTGCTTCATAAGTGACAGTCAGGGCCCAAGTGCGCCAGATGTTTATACTATCAGGAGTGGAAGGGGAAGAGATGTTCATGCTGGATGTTGATCTTGGGAAATCAGATGCTGAATGCTGGATGTCCAGACTTTGGTGTTAAAGGGAGTGGAGATAGTGAGGATCAGATAAGGGAGCCTTGGATAATTTTGGCTGTCAAAGATGTATTATCATCCATTGCTCAATGAAATACTACCTGATTGGAAGTGTGCTGGATATCAGATATTCATTTGTCGACTCCTGGGTCCCGGGTCCCGGAACTCAGAACTCGGTACAGTTGACTCAAATTTTGGTGGTCGTAACATGGCTTCTTGTAGGGCAACATAAGCCTCGCACCCAGGATTCCACATTCTGCAAGACAACCTACATGCCATCAAAGGCCATGTCAAGAGAGCACCTGCTGCTCTCTTCAGAAACATCTCAACTTCGGTTGGCCATTTAACACGGAAAGTATTAACTAAATTATGTGTTGAGTCCCAGGTCCCGGAACTTGGAACTCAGAGAATTTTGGTGGCCAGAAGTGGGTGTCTCGTAAGGCAACACAAGCCTCGCACCCCGGATTCCACATTCTGCAAGACAACCTGTGCACCATCAAAGGCCATGTCAAGAGATCACCTGCTGCTCCGGGAACTTTGATTTATTACCTCCTCTGATTTGGTTGATGTACAACTACCTCAGCTCCGTCATGTCTACAATTATGATACACATGGGCCCACCTGTCTATATTTTATACCACCCTCGGCCCACCCATCTAATACAATATCCCATACAACACCCTCGGCCCACCCATCTAATGACATATTTTATAAAACACTCTCGGCCCACCTGTCTAATTAATATGCGTCTGGGCCCACCTGTCTAATACAATATTTTATAATACCCTCGGCCCACCCGTCTAATTTAATATGTGTCTGGGCCCACCCGTGAATGTGATAACAAGTACCTACCCATCTATCTCATACACATCTACCTTAATACACCCATCTGCATAATATCCAACTACCTCGGCCCACCCGTCTACCGAATATTCATGTACATCGGCCCACTCATCTACTCTATACATTCCCTGCATGGGCCCACCCGCCTCCATCGGGAATAATTTCCCTCCTGGCCCATCCGTCATAGTCGAGGATATTTTTATCATGGGCCCATGATCCGCTGGCCCATATCATATGGGATATTTTGCACGTTCGTTCCCTCGTATTATACGGAGATAGGTCACTGTAATATGTAAGGTGGGGACAGTCCCTGTGCCATTGCGCTCGTTCTCTGTTGGACGCACATCATTTCATCTCGCCTATGCCCCATCCATCAGAAACATTTCTGTTGATGACACTGCTCTCAAATTTGGCCTTCCCGACCTACGACCAGCCATCACTGACTTTCTCGGTCACGAAGCTGCGCATGGGCAGGATTTTGTTCACACCATTGGGGGGGCTAGGAGAGCTAGACCTGTTGCTCCACTTCCATTCGAAAAGCTCAAAGTCTGGTTCAAGCTTCGATTGCAGGATACTGATTTTCATGACGTTAGTATCATACGGCCTGCCCAGACCCTGAATTGTTCACCACCTTCTGACATCTGGACCTGCGGCCAGTATGATCCGGTCATCGTTAACAACGATGCGAAATGCACATGGCCCATTGATGGTCTTCATGGTACGTTCTGCTCTTCTTCCATACTTCCTATTTTCATTATCAAATACCAGGGCACACTGTTGGTGAAATAAGGCTTATTATGTGTCCTGTTGGCAAGGCTGGTACAAATTGGTCGTGGAAGGACCGTTTCCTTGCCTATGTTTATCGCTTTGACTTTGTTCTGCAAGGTAGAAGTGATCATGAGCTGAGTACGCAACTGCATGTACTCAAACGAGCGACACGTTCAAATGATACTTGGGTAGGTGATATCGTACCAGTCATGCAGCTTAGGGCACCTGTCAACCTTGTACCTCATTTTGGTGCAAGTGCGGACCATCGTCTCACCCCATATAACAGTATGGAACATTCTTCAGAATTCTGGCTTAATAAATACTGGGATAAAAACACATTCCTCCCACTTTCCATGTACTAGCTTTTGCAGATAGCTGTATTGTTTTTTCACTTCACGCTATTTTCAGTGTTAATCACTATTGGTTAGAAGTCGTTTTATTATTAGTTCACCTGAAACGCTGAGCTTCGTTGGGCACTATGCGGTGCATGATAAGCTCTCCAGCGGTCCCACCCTTGTCATAATTAGTGTAAACGCCCAAAAAATGGCTTTCTTTTTCACGACAGTTGACAACGGAATTAAACTCTCTTCCCTATTGTCCATCCCCGACATCAGCGATGTTCATGCCATGAACAAAATCACCTCTGATGAACTCAATCGCTTGGTTACACACGAGGATCCACCAGAGGCATCGCAACCGCTAGGACACTTGCTGTCCCACATCTTCCAGCCTTTCAAAATCCCTCTCCCCAATGTATCCGACCTCAAAATGCCCCTTAGAAAGATAATTTATCCCAACGAACACGTCAGATCACAATACCAGGGCTTATCGCCAGATTCCCTAGTGCCACTGTACGACACTGCAACTCACACTTGGAACTGGGATCTTCCAGTTAACCCTCCTGGAGACGAGTCAGACTCAAATACTGGGAGTAGTACTAGTGGCACTCCAGTGAGTCCAGACACAGAGGCTGCAGGGAGTGTGACTTACGAAGAAATCATCGCATCCTTTATAAACGCTCTTGCTGGCTGCTTATCAGCATCACACCCCCTGCTCAAACGCGAGTGCTATGCAACTCGCACTTGGAGCGCAGCCAGTGCTCACAAGGCATTGCCCGGCAGCGACATAAAGCGTAAACCTGATCTTGTCCTCTCTGATGATATCACAGCAAGATGGGGAAACATCAGGGTATCCGGCGAACTGACACAGTCCTTACAAGCCTGCAATGCGGCTTGGGAAGGCTGCAGACACCCATGCCTACCTCATGATGAGCGAACAACCCTGGAGGCACTTTGCGCTCATCTTATCATTCACCGATGCATATCGCCACCTCAGAGTCCTCATGTACAATCACTCTGGTGGCGCTGTATCTACTCGCTTTGATATTTATCAGCAACCGGATCTATTTTCTCATATTATCGCTGCCATCAATTTCAGCAGTCTAGAATGTGTTGGGTATGACTCAACGGTCTCCTTCATGAAACATGTTTCGCCACCCCTTTCCACAGACATCCAAGTCTATCGTCCAATCAAGAATATTCCTGCACAACGTAGCAGTTCAGCAGACCCTGCTGCTTCCACCTCTGAATCCTTCGCTGAACTGCTTGTTTCCGAGAGCCCATCAGAGTCTGATGATAACCTCGAGTCTGTAGTCTCTGATGCCTCTGCCTCTGCCTTTGAGGAACGCTCAAGCGAGGACTCGCTTGAAGTGAGCTCAAATGATACAACTACTCAACCACTTGCACACGAAGAATCCCCCCCCTCTCCCTTTCACATGCAACCTACTATGGTATCCAGTGCCCCCCTTCTCGGCCTCGCGTCCCAAATGTCCCAGGACTTGACAGAGAGCATATGCTCTGTCACGCCCCATCCTTCCCAATTTCCTTATTCTGCGCACTCACCTGAACCTTGCGGCAAGATCCGTGTAGGGGATAACATATATATCATCAAGAGAATTCTCTTCGCGAGTCGGGGCCTCGTTGGTCGTGGAACTATCTGCTATCTGGCCAGTTTGGATGAAGAGGACTTTATTGTCAAGGACCATTGGGTTCTTGGTAAGCAGGACGATGTCATCCTGAACGAGATCAAGATGCTGAAATTGATGCATGGTGTCCCTGGCATTCCGGAACTGGTAGATTATTGGCTCGTCACAACATCCGAGGGCGAGGTCGACAACACTCAAAGTTATCACAAAAGAGAACACCGGAGTACCCAGGGCACAAGTCGTACTCATGTCCGCCTTATCTTAAAACCATGTGCTCGCCCCCTCCACATGTTTCGAACGCTAAAAGAGTTGGTGAGGGCGCTAAGGGATATTGTGATCAGTAAGTGTCGGGTTGACTCACAGTTGAACACGAGTGCTGAATTAATGTCCCCTCTTTTGCTAGTCCAGAAAACGGTGGTGGAGGAGCGCAAGATTCTGCATCGCGATTGCAGTCTAAATAATGCAATGATCCTGGATGATTTAGATATTAGCAAGGGGTTCCTTATTGACTGGGAATTTGCAGTATGTATTACTGCAGATAATAAGTATACCATTGGTGGTACAGTAAGTACGTCACTTCATATCGAGTTCAAATATTAATTCACTTTCCAGGGCACGGTCCCCTTCATGTCACGCAGGCTTCTCAGCCAAGTTTCACTCATGCAGCAACAGGCAAAGGCAGAAGCCGAGAACAAAAGGCTATCAAAAACTCACAAGTCGAAATCGAAGAAAGCTCCAGCCCCCAAAACTCCCAAAACCTCCTCGGATTCTTTGGCGCTGCCTCTTTCTCATGTGATCCAAGGTTACTCTGATGACCTTGAATCTCTCTTTTTCACATTCGCTTGGGTTTGTATCAAGTTCAGTGGTCCCAATGGCACGGTCCGTCAGGAGCGCATGGCTAATTCATTGCTCAATTGCTGGACCAGCCTTGACCTGGCATCGTGCGCTGCCTTCAAGATTACCTTCTTCACGAACCCATTGGATGAAGAACGTCTTCTAAATGAATTTCACCCATACTTCAAGCCTTTCATCCCCCTGGCAAAAGATTGGTGTGCAGCATTGAAGGATAACATGGTTCACCCTGTTACCTTTGACACCATTCTTCACGTACTCAACTCTCATCTCGATCAACTTCCCGACGATGAGGAGCTTCAATCCACTCTGACAATGCTGAAGAAGTCTGCCACTGTTCTCAATAGTACACCCAACTTGAAACGTGCTGCTTCAATATCTTTGCGGCCTGTGGGCCCGGGAATGCTAAAGTGGAAGAAATCGGGTGATATCTGAGCAAATGTATTTTTTTTTTATCAATGTGTTTGCAGTACTATCTCTTACATTGACTAGCGATATGTATCACGTATTTCCCGAAAATTTTCATTACTCTTTGTCACCTGTACCAACACATAGAAAGCATCAATTAACGAGCATTATCTAGAGCAAATCCAGCGCATTCGACACCATGTGGTAATCGAAGTCACTTCAAAAGCACCCGGAAAGAGGACAAATGAAAGTGGTGTATGTGTAGCTCCTCGACGATACTTGTGGAATCTGCAATGTCAGGTCTTGAGAAGGCGCTTGGAGATACATAATACTTAGATGAGCATGGGTTCTCCATACTGAAAAATAGCAATTAGAATAGCACAACAGAAGTGTGGTGCAAAATACATCTAACTCTTCTAAGTCAGATAAACTATCACAAATTAGAGCTAGATATCAATATCATTCATAACATACATGTAATTATTGCCAAGTTATAGAGTACTGCCTAAGAGTCATAAAATTATGCCTATCTACAGGTATCGAGAAACTCGACACCTGAATAGTGTGATCATTAATGAATTGGTCACACAACAAAATTTTGAAATATCCAAGTTCAACATTTGTGCGTATTTGTTTGTATCATGTGACTTGTAGTTTGAGCAAAGAAATATCTCAAGTCCAACATTTGTATGTATTTGTTCGTATCATGTGACTTGTAGTTTGAAATGTTTGAGCAAAGTGGCGCCATGTTGCATCTTTGACTCTCACTCTCTCTTGTCTTCAAAGCTTCAAATATTGCTGGTGTTCATGCACTACATACAATTAAGGTGTGCAATGAATTTTTTTAAAATTCTAATCTTGTTCTTTCTATTTAAGCAAAACTATTTATTCTAGGATGCCTACTATAGCATGCTATGCTCCTCCATCTTCTTCAACACAACACCTACCTTCAAGTTCATGCTCATTGCGCTTGTTGTGCTTGTTGTGAGACCTCTCATACTCTCTTCCTGGCTCGTAAGTTTTTCATTGCTTTCTTTTCTTTTTTCTATTGACAACTATCATAGAGCTATGTCCTCTCACACCTCTTTCACCAGTCAATACTGTCATAATAATACATTAATTACATGACAGTTGTCATTTAATGGTAATACATAAAACATTGTGATGAGCCTGGGCTTACAGACTATAGGAGTGATAAATCAGCACAGATCCTCCAAGAAGTTACCAGCACCAGTTGATATATCATTTCAAATACTCAGCAGTAGCTACTAGTGCTGACAGAAGTAATACATCAATACAGATCCTCCCAACAGGTACCAGAGCTTGCAGACTGTAGGAGTGATAAATCAGCACAGATCCTCCCAAAACTTACCAGCATCAATTAATACATCAGCACAGATCCGTATCAGCACTGGGTGATATATCATTACAAATACTTAGCGGTACTAGCACTGACAAAAGTGATACATCAACACAGATCCTCCACCTATGGCTATATTGGGCATGTTGTCCATGCTCCCGTTTTGGGTAATATCCTTTGTCATCACTTCTCATGACGTCGGAATAGACGCTGCTCGCTGTACCAGCATCAATTAATATATCAGCACAGATCTGTATCAGCACTGGGTGATATATCATTCAAATACTTAGTAGTACTACCACTGACAAAAGTGATACATCAATTCAGATCCTCCACCTATGGCTATATCGGGCATGTTGTCCATGCTCCCATTTGGGGTAATATCCTTCGTTGTCACTTCTCACGATGTCGGAACAGACACTGCTTGCTGTTTATCACAGCGAGCTCAGCCAAAACATCACTTGGAGTCTGTTGTTGGTCCCTCGAACGCAGACACCAGCACACTCGAAGGAATTCTAGAGGGTGAGGGACTTGGAGCATCTGTATAATGAGGGGCTCATTTTTCATCTGTACGTCCTGCGTGCTCTCATTTCACCTGCGTGCCGCTGCATTGTGCGCTCATTTCACTTGCTTGCTGCATTATTCATACACGTTCACTGTATTATGTTCTTATCGTCTCACTCGCTGCATCATTCACATCCGCTCGCTGCACTATGCTCTCGTCTGTTGTTAAATTTGCTTCATGATGTTGATAATCGAAAACATACTGTTCCTTGCTATACATGATCTTACACGCCTGGAAACACCAAAACACATTGTTCTCAATATACATGGTCTTACATGCCAGATCATTTTCAGATATTTGTACATACACATGTGGGCTATCTCATACACACGCATACAGTATGTGCGTGTTGCGGGTTTTGACTGGGCTTCATGAGCGCTTGAGCAGTCACTGGCATGAACTTTCACTTTCAAGATGCCAAAAATATATGTGCGCGGCAAGAAATAATATTTATGAAACGACATAGACACCTTACAAGATGACAAACTACACATCAAGTACAAATTGAACATGCATCACAGACCGAGGGAACTGTTAAGTCAAGCCCTTTTCCTGTAAGTATGTTAGCATTCGAATTCCGTGTCAGAATGAGACTCACCTTTGGATAGCTGACTTAGTGTCTTGCCCAATCGTATTGGCAATATCATTGCGCTTTTATCCCACCTGGACTCACTTGGAACGACCAGTCACCAGACCATCAGAGACTTCGCCTTTGTTGCTGTCGTGGTGCCTGCATCGTTTGGAAGCGTGGTGAGGAGATATGTAGGTAGGAGCCACATCAGGGGAGTCTATAGTTTGATCAACAGCCGGTAGTGTCAAAACGCCAACTGTGGAGGGACTAGCAGAGTTCGTGGTCGATGAGGGAGGTGAACTCTGTGTGGGAACAGCAGGTGGAGTCGGATTTTGTACAGCAGGTGCTGTTGATCCCTCTGGGAGTAATGGGGTCTGTGAATGAATGACTCCTGGTAGTAGAATTTGCGAAGGAGGGGCTCCTGGCAAACTTCGTGCAAGTGGCACAGTCTGAGTCATCTCAGGAGGAGCGTTCATGGATACTTGCGGTGGGCATGAGGGTGCTTGTTTGTCAGTAGGTGCAGGTGACTGATGTGCCGGTTTCTTCATGACGTCTTGAAGGAACTCAGTCAACGAGGGAGGATTGCATACCAGCTTGGCGGGCAGAATGGACTGTGACAAAGTTGATTCGAGTGTGGTAGTGGAGGGTGTGGGAGCACACATTGATCGTGGTGAAGGATACGTCGGAGGTGGGGAAGGCTGGGGTAGAATGAGCCCAGGCCTGGGTGCATATGCCTCGCCCTGTCCAGAGGTTTGTGTCGGTGGCTGCAAGGCTGACAGCATCCAAGAAAAATCGTCATAAGGGTTGATGGAGGAATACGAATTGGAAGATGAAAGTGCCGAAGACGGAGGCAACTGTGGTTGTAGGATACTGAAATCCAGATTGTGCAATTGAGAGTATTCATTTGATGCGAAGAAGCCATCAGCGAGAAGATTAAGTTCGTCTGACTCATCAAGGGGTGGAAGAAGAGTGGTGGCAGTGACATTTGAATTTGAGGGCCCAGACATCGCCATCGTATTGACCGATTTGCTCATGGTACCAGTACCCTTCTCAAGACTGATATTGTTCATCGACTCGACGCTGCAATATCTCTTAAGTCCTTTTGCAGCAGCGGTTGCTGCAAATCAAGTCAGTTTCACATGCGGGGTAAGTCAGTTTCACACTTACGATGCACATGGTTAATGAATTCCACCCAAGGTTTCATAATTGTACTATTGAAGTCAGGATATGCGTCTGAGAAGAGGTTTCCCATCTCAGTGCATCCAACATGGAAGCTACTGACATTGATCTTCCCTCCTAATGCAGGTGTAGGCCCACCCATGAGGACGGAGAAGGACCACCCTGTGAGTCGCTCAAGTTCTTGAAAGAACTCGGCAAGGATGTCAACAAGCCGGTCAATAGTTCTGTGAATCAACATCAGCTGACATCAAGTTACGAGGAAGGTGAGCTTACACTTGGTGATCTATCCCTTCTCCTGTCTTTGCAGCCTCTAAGTCCTGACTTTTCTTCTCGTTGAGCTGCTCGATGTATGCTGCCACTTCAGCTTTGACCTCTGGCGTCTCGGCATCGTACAATTCTCATGTTACACGCTTTACAACACTAATCCTTTTGGGAAGCTGACCTTTCTCCATGGAGCTACTCGATGGATCGCCAGTGGTAGTGTCATCGAGATCCTTTTCCCCTTCTTCATCCGTTCCATTACCTAACTTCGCCAAATTTGCAACATGTTGAAGTCGCTGCATCTCGGCATCTACAGCAGGCTTCACGCAGGTTGCAAAATACAACTTGGAGTAGGCCTCGTGGGATTGCAAAGAACGGGCTCTCTGTGGGGCAGTGATGCTGGCAATCAAGCTTTGGCGCGTCTTTTCTCCAGTATTCTTTGCTTTACGCGATGCCTTTGATGATCCCCAGTTATTACGAAGCTTGTTCATGAGTTGCTGATGCTGTGAATGCGTCCTTTACAGTGATGGCAAGTATCCAATGTACGTACCAGCTTCCGCCGGTCATACGCGGCACTAACAATTTGCTTTTGTTCTACATTTAGCTCTTTGTCCAAAGGAATTTCGGGAAAAACAACAAGCCACTCAGGAAATTTGGCGCCCCAAGCCTCGTAGAAAGGGTTCCAGAAGGTGGTGTAGTCCCTCCTTGCTTGGCAATATTGATACTTCTCATAGAATGTGTTGACAAACTCCTCCTCATCTGATGATGCCCATCGTCGAGGGGCCATCTGAAATAAGGTCAGCGGTACTCTCGGATACATTTAATTAATATGTCACGTACTTTTAGAGGTCTGTTAAAATTTTAACGCGTTACAGTACTAGGATGGGAAAGAATTTTTGTTTTGGAACATCGTGCATGACAAAGCCAATCGAACTTCGATCTAGGCCAACTAAAAATATAACATTGATCTTCGAATTGTACAGATGCCCATTCCCATAGACGAGTCGAGGTATTGTATTTATCTAAACAGCTGACCACTGAAAGAGTAGATCCCCTTGCCTATAGGCCTTGGTAAGATTCGGAATATCAAACGATAGGAAGAATATCTCCTCCACTGCACTGACAACCTCATGAACACTTTTGCTAGCCTCTCGAGCCTCCTTAAATGCATCTCCTACTCCCTCTTGTTGGAGTACATCATCCTCAAGAGCATGGGCATCCGTACGAAGGTCCTCGAGTGCATTAAGAGCAACACGGATATCTTCGGGTAAGATCTCACCACATTTCAGATGGAGACACATGCTATCGAGGTGGGCATGTGGGGAGTTGTTGACCAGAAGCTTGAGGCACGAGGAGATAGTATTTCGACATGCACTGCATAAATTCAATGAGTACATTTATTAAATTCAGTACTATATGAGAAGTACATAGGAGATCTTGATCGAGTTCCAATTTTGCTAACTTTGCTGCGCATTCGTACAGGTTGTGCAGTACTATGTGCATGAGTGTTCCTTACAGAGCATCGTGACAACATCAATCTTATGAGCAATCTGCAAGGTACCTGTGGTGAGACATACCTTTCCTTATTTTTTTTGTATCGCAGTTGATTCTTCAAACTGATTTTCTTTTTGTTGCTGTTAGTATAACAAGGTAAGTATGCTGTCACTGACAATGCCAACACTGATGAGCATCGACCAAAAATATCACCCTTACCGTTGATAGTATTCACGGCTGTGACGTCGAGCAGCTTCAGCTTGTTCTTGATCAGTATTGTGGATACAAGGACGAGCCATGTTGAATGTTTGTTGCTGACTGTCAAAGAGACGACAAGGACAGAAATATAACACAACTCAGCCTCAGTGAGAGCCAAAGAATGTGGTTGAATTTAACACCAGATTTATACGATTTTTATCAACAAACACTTCAATTTGCAAGCTTCCTGTAGCTACTGCCTACCGAGAATTACGTCTATACATGCCTCTCTGTAGCCTGGATTTATCGACTATTGAACCTAATTTTCCGAAGTTTTGCATTGCATACTACAGGGCTAATGTTTTTTAGATACACTCAGGCTGGACCCTCATTATTAGTCATTAACTTGAACGCTCATCAAGAACATGAACCATCACATCTCGAATCGACTTTACTCTAAACCACACTTGAGCACCAAAATGACGGGATGTCCAAGGTCAATGAAGTTCGTGCTTTCATTTTGTTTGGTGCTCTAATAGTATATTGAATGAGACAGGGTATCACCAGGCTATGTATTCATTCTTCCATTGTTCGTGTAGCCCATCCTTGCACAACCACGCGAACACCCAGCCCCCTTTCTTCCTTTGGCCCATCGCTCCAAATCAGTTCTCATTATACTCCACAATATTACAGCCAGCTAGCTCAATTGATAGCAACACAACTCGCTATCGTGTACGGGACGTCTGAGATCAATGAAGTTTGTGCTTTCATTTTGGTCGGTTCTGGGACTTCGAGACTGATAAGGGCTGTAATTGGACGTATTTCTGAGGAGAAAAATTACAGGCACTCCACTAGGTACTGCTGATTTGTAGATTGATATATCACACTTGTAATATTGGTGACTCTCATACTTCGTTGATGCTTCTAACTTATTAACCAGTCATTTCTTCCTCAGATGATCTGCTAATTCGACACCAGGACCCTGTACATGTCACAATGTTACCCTACACATGTGACGCGCCCTCATATTCGCCAGGAAAGTCCGCCGAACAAAGTGGTAGCATGCCTGCAATGAAGGTAAGTCAAGACATGTCCTATGAATCAAAATCTCGACTCAACTCGTCCGCATGCCTCATGCTCTTGGGCTAAAAGATGTTCTTGGTTTTCTGTTAGCTCAGCCTGGAGTTGAAGCCTTGGCCACAATCTCTTCCTCAACGGCCATCTCTCATCAAATTCAATGGCCCAATAGTGCTCGAGCCAACGCTCTCCCTGATTTAGGACGAACATTTCGATTTGTTCCTGTAGCCATGCTTGCTGCTCAGATGTCCAGAGCACTCTTGGCATCTGATAGCAGACACCATCAGTGTGTGTCAAGCATATTGCGTATTTTTGAGTGTACTCACTTTGTCGAGTTTTTGCTAGGATAGTGGGTGTCACTGAGGTGCAGTGGTAGGCAGCGCCTCACTCATTTATACTCAGCCTAATGTTTGACTTTTTTGGTAGAACATTTGGCATGCAGATCACAGGCTTGCGGGAAGTTCGGTGATGCTGGACTCAGCAAAATAGACTATAAATTGAAACTTCACTGATAAATTAGTCAACCAGTTACTGCTTTGGGTTTCTACTCGGCTGACTATGCTCAGTGTTGGTGCCTGGTGAGACGACCATCCCCCTTCTCTTCACTCACTAACTCGAACATTTAATGCCTCGAACAAGCAAGCATAAGCGTCCAAAGCTCGTGCGCTATGTGGACATCCAGGAGGACGAGACCGAGTACCAACAGCATCGTGTCTATGGTGTTCATGACGGCGAAGTCAGTCTCCAATCTACCCAATTTGTTTCTTCATCTTCGATACCTCATTCATTTCCCGAGCTTGCATCTGGTGAGAACGAGCCACATGACTTCACAGGCCTTTGGGACGAACTTCCTCCAGGTCTCGATGACCAGACAACAACAGTCGAGTTGCCAATGGAGTCAGCAGACCAAACACCGTCCTTTCAAAAATCTAAGAGGAAAAGGACCGCAGGGGTATGTTTTCCTCATACAGATGTTCTTTTACTCACTGACATGTCTTAGGATAATCCATTGTTATCATGGCTCTCAGAGCGCTCAATGTATCTAGATGAGATGATTCAGCTGGAAGGTCGCGGAAGTGAAGCAACACGCTCTTTTTGTCATTGTGGAAGTGAGGACCTGCCGGTTTACAGGTGCAGGGACTGTTTTGGGATAGAGATGATTTGTCAGAGCTGTGTAATTGAATGTCATAGATGCAATCCATTGCACCGAATAGAACAATGGACACAAGATCATTTCGCGCGCGTCTCACTCAAGCACCTCGGTCTCCGCATTCAACTTGGACACACTCCTGGCGAGGTCTGTTTGAACAAACAGAGAGCAAGTGGTGATGAGTTTGTTGTCATTGATGCCCATGGGATCCATGAAATTGGCCTCGACTTCTGCGGCTGTGAAACGGCACAAATTCATTATATTCAACTCCTCTGAGCTCGCTTGTTCCCTTCCACATCCTCTAATCCCCAAACAGCTGCTAGCTTTGCTGTCATGGAATTTTTCCATTTGTTGTCCTTCGAATCAAAAGTTTCACCGTATGAATTCTACCACAGTCTTGCCCGTCACACAGATAATACAGGAATTACACCAATCAAGGTATGTGTCATCGTGATTTCCATAATATATACTAGCATAGCTTATCCCAATTTGACAGGATAGTTATTCAGCATTCCTGTGCATGGTACGAGAGTGGCATAACCTCAAACTTCTTAAATGTTCAGGGAGAGGACACCACCCTGATGGAATCAGTACCACGCAAGATGGTGACTGTGTCGTCCTTTGTCCTGCATGCCCGCAACCAGGGAAAAATCTTGCGGTGGGATGGGAGAACGTGGAGCCCAGGTCAAAGTAATATTTGTTTCTTCACGCATTTTCTAGTCACTAACTACTATTCATGGCAGATGGGTATATGCCCTTTTTCTCTTGATTGATGCAAATTTCCGCTTGAAACTGAAAGCAGTGTCAAACGACCAGCGCGACCCCAGCCTCAATGCTGGGTCGTCATATTTTGTAGAAGAGACGCGCTACAAAACATACCTGGCTGAGCGAGTCACATTGCCACAAGAGGTTTGATTTCACCCTAACACTGTCACTGTGCTCAATATTATTTCAGCGAAGTACATGTGTTAGTCATAACGCCGTCAACATGGCAGATACTAAGTCATCAAGAGGTCTTGCTGCGACTGGTATAGGGACTGTTGACTGTGCACGACACGAGATGAAACTGGCAAGCGGAGTAGGTGACCTCCAAAAGGGGGGAGTTGTTTAACAGCTATCTTCATTGACTCAGACTGACCTTTGCACAGGTATGTAAACATGGACTACCTGGTGTTCTCCATCATCGTTGGCAGTGGTGCAACCATCCTCAATTTGTCTTACGATGTGGCCTGTCAATGGCATAAAAAGATATGGGCACACTTGGCCTCGATGCCTGATAGGCTGCAGTTCAATCGTGAGAACAAGACAGTGCAATTTTTTGTGCCAAAGTTCCACATCAATGCCCACATCCCCGCCTGTCAAACAAACTTCTCATTCAATTACTCTAAGGGTGTCGGTCGCACAGATGGAGAAGCACCAGAGCGAGGCTGGGCAAATGTGAACAGAGTAGCTACCAGCACTAAGGTGACTGCTGGTGTGATGATGTTGAGCTAATTTGAACTAAAACAGGTCATGTTTTGCTACGCAAACTAAAAGAAGCGGTGAGGAGTGCTAAGGTGCATGGTGATGAGCTAGCCGAACTGCAGAGTGCGATAGATGCTGTGTCCCTGAGCGCATGGAGATCTGAGGTTGAGGCTTGGGAAGATGATGGTTCACAGCCCAACCCATTTGAGAGCCACATAGCACGTAAGTGAATGTGTCTCGATTTCAGTACCTCGTTCTTATCTTCTTGCTCAAGCAATGACCCAAACCACTGTTCGACTTCAACTGACCGAGAACGAGGCTCGTGACTTACAAGCTGGCATGAATGCTTCTTTGCATGATGAGGTATCACCCTTCATACTTATTTCTATAGGCTTAGACTTAGAGGACCAACAGTACACTTACAATCCATGAGAGAACCTCTCCACAAGCTGACTCCTGTTTCAGGCATCGTCTATGTGCAGATACTGCTGCGCTTGGAGTTCATGCTACTGAAATACAGAAAGCCAAGATTTGCACGCGAAGCAATGCGCTCCTACACAAGATCGAGTCATGGACAACAATCCAGACACTATACATGCCTGCAGTGGCCCTACTTCGTTCAACACCAGAGCTCACACGAGGGGCAAATAACGATGCAGATAAGCCTGAGGATTTACATCTCTGGCTCCCTTCCTCACTAGGTACAAAGTATACCTGCGACCGCCATCTGCAAGAGCTCGAATGGGAGCTCCGCTTTGCCCAAGCACACGATGCCCTAAATGAAGTGTGCCAGAGCATTCACCTCTCATCTCATCTTAAGACATTCAAACGGACTCACATTCATGGACAACAGGCATCAACACGAGCTCGCAGCATGTTAGACCTTGCCGATACGAAGAAAATGGCAAACAAGCTCAAATACGACACCGCTCGCACCGCGCTGATTGTTCTTGCTCCAATTCTGGGTAAGGTCACTTGGGAGGGGAACTTATGTATGCTGCAGGTCGCAGACCTGCGTCCATTAGGTGACATTGCACCTGGTCAGTCGGAGGGCACGAGAGACATCTCATGGATCTGGAAGGCGCCGGGTGCCTTGCAAGATGACGATGCTAGCCTTCAAGATTGTATGTGGCCAACATTGTGATCTGGCATTTACTCACCCATGATCCAGGTCTACGTATTGAGTGGTGCAAAGCACGAGCATGCGAAGGATGGTGGTCTGAAGAAGTATTATTGCTCCTCAAGGAAATGCGGAGAGTCATTGAGTTCCTCAAGTGGCAGGCTAATTGGTGGAAAGATCATGGAACAGCAGCCATATTTGCGAAGCCCACCCATCAAGAAGGGGCTCTTGCATATGCAGAACGGCAGGCTCACATCCGGCTCGCAATGGTCAAGCACGCTCAAGAGCTTTGGGCAGCCATTCCGTCAATTGTAGAGTCTCGGCTTCTTCCGGACAATGAAGAGAACACTGCGGAGATATGTGATGTATTACTGACCATGGAGGGCCCACCACCTGATGATGTTATATAATGATGTATTACTGTCAATGTGATGACTGTCTCGATGCCGATGTATTATTGCTCACTATCCTGGACTCACAGTGTGATATATTATTGCTCACTCTCGGACTCAGACAGTGTGATGCATCAATGTAATGTATCATTAGCAGTGTTATTCAGGGTGTAGTACTAGTGACACTCTAGCCAGTTTATGTATCACTATTACAGTGACAGGGTCAGTTTTAATACATCAGAATGACACCAGCAGGTGCTTTCACACCCTCTCTGCACTCACCAGCATTTCGCTCAAAACTCTGTCCAATGCCGGCACACTGCCACTCATTTGTGCTTACTTGCACTAGTCCGCACCTCCTTCATGTGAGTGTGTTGCCACTTGTCCTCATTTGTGTCATTCCGAGTGTATCGCAGGATGGATGAGGACTAAATCTCCTTAGTATTACCTCTCGAAATTATTATATACTTGTACTTGACTATTTACATTCTTTCTAATGAAAACCAATTTCTTTCTTGTATATGAGTCAGTTCTAGTAAGCAATAATAAATCTGAAAGCGCGGAAAATCTTGACAACATTAGTGCTAAGTTCTGCATAATCTGCAAAAACATCGTCTAATTATGAAAAAGTTAAAGGGGGGTAAAAGAGTCTTAATAATCTGCTAAACACTATATTTAGGAAGAATTTTTGGTAATTATTGAAGTTAGATCTAAACTTAGCTAAGTTTGTGCAGGAGGTTTTCCCTGATGAAGAAACATGCGGAATGGAAAGGGAGCATGAGACACTGTTGAATATTTGTTGGAATTATGAACATATAGGAAGGTGCAAGGCATGTAGTGCCAGTTGCAGACCTGCGTGCTGCATCTATACAGCAATGAAGCTGTGCCACAGCAAAATTCAAATATAAGAACAACACATAAGACGCACCTCAAAATGGCATGAATGAACGATTGCCCTCAACTCCCAATTGATCACTGGTAGTTGGACACTCAGGCTGGGTTGATATTTTTCGTGAGTGATGCTCTGAATTCTTCATTTAGAGCTAATGAGTTGCTTACCAGGGACTTCAGATACCCACTAAGATCTCTGGCACACACATTCTCGAATTTTGTAGCACTTGCATACACTGTCTTGTATGCGAGGGTTAAACATTAAATCCTGTAAGCATGCTGCCTCATGATCTATGGTTTGCATTGTTCTGATAAGCGTCAAATTGAAAAGAGATAGCCGCCTGGACTCACCAGTAAACTGTTCCATTGCCAGATAATCTGGTTGGATTCCAAGATCCTGGAAGACTTCTTTCATATACAATCCACAATTTCCCATAGTCGATATTCTGAGCACAGATCATGTCTTCATCTACCAGTGAGATGCCAGTTATCAGGCCACACCGGATGATGCAAGGTCATACTCACTGGGTAAATGGTGCTGTACACTTGCCTGGCAGACGACACATCATCACATGTTCATTGGATGGTTCACTCCAACTATGGGACATTGAAAGTGGCACACAGATAGGTGAAGTCTGGCAAGACAAGGGAAATGGAGTGTGGTTCGTAGCATTGTCTCCAAATGGAAAGAAAATTGCCAGTGCAAGCGAGGACGGGAAAGTTGTTAACGTTCTTGACACTTTTGACTTTTACCTTTAAATATTGTATTACCTTCTTGATGTTATCAGCATCAACACTGCATGCAACACCTTATTTTGACAGCTTCTTGCTTCTTCTCCGCACATCGTTTTCCCGGTCTCTTACCTAATCTCACTTCTTGTGCTATATAGTTCGTGTCATTCACATGACACCTCAGTATTGTTCTATGTGACTTACTGAGGTGTGTAGACACTCTTGTTTCCACACTCAATCCTTACTGATGTACCCTAGCGTCTCCGCTAGGTAGATACATGACAATCTAGTATTGTTCTACATGACTTACTGAGTGTCTCCACTAGCACGTATAGGTTATGAGCCCTGAGCTCTAGATGAGCTCGACATCCATATGCATGTGGATAACACTCATCAAATCATGAAGGTCCATCTAATGGCTGGAACCCACAATCACTACAATGGGTAAATATGATCACATCATAGAACTGACTGGCACGGACATATATCCCAGCTGGCAAAGGGCTGTAGAATTAGCCTTAGCCGGGGAAGGATTATGGAATCACTGTAGCGATGGCACCGACCCCAACGACATAGCCGAATACACCAGTGTAATGCCCAAAGTCACCACGCCAGGACAGCCCACCGCCACAGAATTGGCCTCTATAAAGGAATGGGTCAAGGAGGACGCTCAAGCAAAAGCCATCATCAGCAGATGCCTTTCCTCCATTGTTCAAAACATGCTAGGCGAAAAGCTAATGGCTCATCAGCAGTGGGACGCGTTGTTGAAATGATTTGGATGACTCGATGTAACCTCACAATTTGAGCTATGGGACTAACTCTTTTCAGAACGTTTAAAGGATGCTGACGACGCCTCATGATACATTAGTGTCTTTGAGAATGGCCAAAGGAGATTTGCAGAGATGGGGATTACTTTCAGAGACTCCGAAGCTGTTTGGATGTTGCTGTACAGACTTCCAGAAATACCGCAATGGGTAGTTTTCCAAAGCCTTACCCTTGGACTCTACAATAAGACCTCTACATCAGGAAATCAACCTGAAATTGATATGATCAGGTAGTGCTGACAAATAAAACCAATTATGATACATCTAGATATAGAATTACATATTATTATCTTTGCACAACAAATATATGAAAAAGTACATGACCATGCCTGGGAAATGCCATTTTGACGTGCATCTTACAAGGACACAACCAGTATATGAAACAGTACATGACCATGCCTGGGACATGCCATTTTGGCGTGCATCTTACAAGGACACAACAAATATATGAAACGGTACATGGCCATGCCTGGGAAATGCCATTTTGACGTGCATCTTACAAGGACATAACAAGTATATCAGACCATGTCTGGGACATGCCATTTTGACATGCATCTTACAAGGTCACAACAGATATGTAAAACAGTTTCATGATTCGATTGCAGCAGCAGTATGAACACATCAGAAGAGAGCAATAAATGTATGCAATTATATCAAAAATGTGACATCATACAAGCAGTCACTTGAAGATATTTTGCAGGCACATTGAAGGGTACCATGATGTCTCATATATGAGCTGTTGCAATGAGGGTGGATGCCAGTGACTGGTGATATATTTATATATCACACAGCATGAGGAAAATAAAGTTCCGGAGTGGATATTTTAAGTATTATCGATGGAGATGTGAGGTGTAATGATGGCGGGATTAGGGATGGAAGACGCACATCTGTATGAGGGACGATGGCATGAACTGTGTTGATCAAGAAGGTCTATTGGAAATCAGATCACTGATCCTGTTAGTATTCCAGGTTTTATTATCTATATTGAGTGAATTGACAGAAGAACATCCATGTTCGGTTCAAGGTGTGATGGGAGACCAATAGTTTTCTCGGTCTACTTCTTTTTCTGTCGAGTGGCAAAGGGTCATACATAAGAATGGAGCAGAATGGGCCAGACACATGATTCAAACATATTGAGTATAAGAAGAGACTTACGGGGTGAGTATATGCATGGCAGGGAGATGACAAGTGCTGAGTGCTGAGTAGAGAAGAGATTTGGGGCTTCAAGTCAAAAGGCATCAAGTGCACCTGGGAAACATCAGTGAGGCCTTGAGGCGCCGACCACAATATTCTGACATACGTACTCTGACCAAATCACACTGGCTCTGTCATGCAGTGCCCGAGCAAAGCAAAAGAAGAAGCGACCTCGGAGCGAGTCCAACACCACAGATGGCTAATAATGCATCAGATCAGCCAGAGTGCCTGGAAGGTAGGGGAGTTGATAACCTGATAGAACCAACTCAAAGCTGACAACTGTCTGTGGTCCAGCACAATCCAACAATGTAGAGTATGATGATTTTAAGAGACTTGGACTCGAGTATTTACCTCTGCCATAGATGCGCATGGCAAGAAGATGAGGTGTGGTGATCGTAGAATTGTGCATTAGCTTTTTATTCTGGTCCTTGTGATCTGTCGATACCCATAGAGAAAGTAGCACATCTGTCAGCATGAAACATCGAACTATATTATGACACGGACCCAACTGTTGACACCATCACCATTGATCACTATCACCCTGTGTAGTGTGTCAGTTCAGACAGCTGGTCACAAAATGGTCCTACTCATCTATCTGTACCAGTTAGTGAACATGGGCGAATGGAGAACAATGGAAGAATTCTTGAAAATGAAGATTCATGGAAACCATAATGGCTGATAAAGCAATGGTTCTTCATTGAGATCACAATTTCCCTATTCTCCATCTGAGATATCCGTATAGATGGACTATGGGAAAAAGTGGGTCGCAGGGAGTTAGAGCATATCCTAGATGACAACCCATAGAAATGCTTACCTTGAGCATTGAAATATATGAAAGATGGGCTAATCATTCTTGGATGGGGTTAGGACAAGCATAGGTCTAGACGTGGACCAATAACTATGCGAATTTCATGACAGGGAAAAGAGGAGGAGTGTTCAAGACTGGGAAACGTATGAGCAATAAATGCAAAGGCTAGCACTAAAGCACCTCTTTGGGCAGGGAGGCTGAAAGAATCATTATCATGTCGACTCCCTCCAAAAAAGGTAGAGAATGAATGTACATACATGGCTCCAATTCCGATGGTGCTGAGAGGAGCCTCAGGTACAAAAATATTTGAAGGAGTAATTGTGCTACGCTTGAGGTCAGCGGACACATGAGCACTGATATATTGACAGTCAGGTTAGCATATGTCCCCAATAGTAATGGGACAGGGTAAGCAACTTACAACTGGTCAAAATCGGATACCCTAAATAAGCCATCTCCAACACCCGTACCAATTATTTTTGGGGTGCGAACTCCATATATTGAATGCGCAGATTAGTGTGGATACACAAGGGCAGGCATTATTAGATTGGAAGTCTGAAGAGAAGACATTTAGAGATGAAGTTGAGTTGTAGAATAGAGCTATGCCAGCGCGCTTGGCTAAAGATACGTATCTTACACGTCGATTTGAACCTGATTCCGGATTGGGACAAAGATGAGCTGAGAGGATTAGTGGGGTAAGTGGTAGGGAGGGCAATCATATTCAGAAATGAAAATGAATGAAAGGAATGAAATAGAAAATGCAAAGTAGTGTTATTGTTGGCAGAGGAGCAAGTCTCCAATTAGATGTTTTGGCATGGGTGAAAAGGGTTGGAGTATCTTCATATAGCGTACAAACTTTGAATTCAAAGTCCAACTGAGGTTACTGACTCGGAAGCACAGTTAGGTTTATTTCTTGACTTTCGGCAAACACCAAAGGTAGCACAGCAAGTAGAAGATCATTATCAGTAAACCAGTGAGTCCCTGGTACTATAGCCATGACTATTATAATCAAGCTGTCATATCCCGTATTCCGGACCTACATCCGACAATATTCCCACGCCTCATCCGAACCTTCGGATGCCCTATCCATGTCTCCAGTCCTCTACCCATCCAGATCCCTGCACCTCTGCACATCCACATCTGCACATCCACATCCAGATCCCTTTACCTCTGTACATCAGACCTCCATACCTCTACAGCTAGCCTGCATCATTCATCCTTTGTCCTATCGCCCTAATGTCATATCCCGTATATACACGCATCTCATCCGGGCCTCTGATCTGATCTGATCTGATATACGATAAGCTTCCTAATTCATTTCCTGTGCATATAATGTTAACACAGCCTACTCCTCTATTCGGTATTCCTTGTCCTCGGTATCTCGGTTATACTTACTACCAGACTGCTTACTGATCCGTTAACCTATGCTTCATTTCCGACTTGCGCTTGATAAACTTTGCTTATGCTTCATACATAGCCTCGGACTCTTGCTTACTGATCTTTCCGTTATTTCCTTAGTATATAAACTTGTGTATATGCCCTGTAGTTCCCCAGTCTGAATATCATATTAGTCCTCGCACTAGATCTCACTCTAAGTCCTCATATCAGTTCTAGTCTACCGACTTAGTCAATATCCATCTCAGGCCTAGGGAGAAATTCCCTAGGCCAGAGCTCCGCTTATCTGATCCTCCGCTTATCTGACCTTCCGCTCATCTGATCCTCTGAAGTTTCCAGAAGTTTGTCTGAAACTTTCCCGTGGTCCTCCAGACCTATTCTGCTTCGGTCTTTGTCCTTGCAGCCTTTCCTCTGTTTGCTTCTACTTAGGACTTGTCCTAAGTAGCCATTACACATATCTGCATCAGGATGAAACCTCATCGTAATTTCCGAAAGTTCCTCCAAAACTTTCCCGCACTTGTCCGGAAGTTACTTGCACTTGTCCGGAAAGTCCTTCCAAACTTTCCCACGCTTCAGATGTCCTTTGGATGTCCTTGGACTTTCTTTGGACATCATTCTGAAATTAAGGGCACATACTCGGGTAAGGGGTGCAGCGCACGAGCTGAAGCCAAGCTCCTCAGAATCAGTCCTATGCTTTGTGCATGGTCTTAACACAAGCACAGTCTTGCTATCGCACTGTAATACTATTCTCCACTGGCAGCAAAATATTTAAAGACCTGTCCACAACCTGCAGCAGACAGTGTTGAAGAGATGACGGGGTAGTATTGATGAAATAGATTCACCTTTGAAAAGTGTTTTAACCGACTGGGGTAGTACCATCACGTCAAAACCTGGATCCTCAGGACTTTTGGCAACTCTCAACTCTGCGGAATGCCATACATCAAGATGGACTTTGTGTGCAATGTCTAAGGGAACAGAGAACATCAGATAAAAGCTATGCAGATCATTGGATGTGAGTTGCCGGAAGTTGAATTATGGCAAAAGTCTCACCTTCTCTGCTGCAAAACATATCTGCTAAGATTAGACTTGGGGGTCACTAGCAGCCTCCAGTTCGCATACGATAGAATCTACTTCTTGTCCACATCTAAAGTACTCCTCCTTCCGCAAGTGATACAACAAATTGATGGCACACTGCACACAACGAAAGAAATCTCATTTAGTGAAAAGCATGCAGGATTAGGAAGGAGCCATATGCACTGAAATCAATACATCATTAGCTCGAGAGTAAGAGAAATAGCGCTCGAAAAAACTCACTGGATCACCACGAAACTCATCATCAAGCTGCTAATGACGTCATTCACACTTGGCACGAGAAGGACTGTGCTTGTTGGCAATTGAGAAAGGAAATTGTGGAGGGGGGGCTATAAATTGGTGTTTGAAAATGTCTGATGGCATCTACGAATGGCCCGAGCTGGTTGGATTATGAGATTCAAATATTAAATTGAATAATGAGTGTGTGTATAAGTAAGACGATGGCAGGTTTGATATCTTGAGGTTGCTCATAAGAGTTCTCCACTGTTTGTAGTCGAGGTTAGCATCTGGAGTGAATAGCCCACATGCTATGCACATGTCAAAACTTGCTGCCATGTTACTCGGTGTAGCAGGAGATGCTGGCATTGGGGGTATCTATGCAAAGTGTGTTTTCTATCTCAACAAAAAAACCAGAGACTCAAATACTCACAGCTAGAATCTCAGATGCAATGAAATAACCTCTGCCACCATTGCACCCTTTGATTGCTACTACCGCACCAAGAAATAGGCCTACACCACCCAAGCCTTTATACCCTCCCTGAATCTTGAGATCTGGTGTGACTTGCAGAGGCGCACAGAGTCCATCGCCATGGGATTGCGATGGCTCGAGAATAAGCAACTGATTGTTCAACTTGACCCAGAAGCCTCAGCATCTAGCACAATCCAGCTCACAACAACACATGATTCCTGCACCAAAAATCAGCTAACAAAACCAGTCATCAAAGCACTCATACCTTGGAAAAAACACCAGGATGACCCAACTGATGAATATCCAGATAAACACGCACTGTCGCTTCGTTTGCTGGGCCTACTAATGTTTGATAGATATACCGATCTTGGGCTGGATGAGCAGGGAAGACCAAGGTAATGATGATTGACACTCACATGCACGATTTTGTCTAGCCTCTTTCTGACCTACAAAAGTGACCCTGCTTGAACTGGCGATCAGCCCATCAAAGTCCTGCTCAAGCTTCACAGGCATGCTCGCCATACCTCCAAAAAGCGCTTTCAGTGGTTGAGCCGCAGCCTTGAGTGGCCCAGTAAGTCCCTTAGCATTTACCCCCATGAATTTTGCAGAATTCGCAAACTTCCTGCGCACAAGGCCTGTCATTGCTGACTTGGATACATAGGCTGCTGGCATTCTTGGCTTGCATCTCCTGTTGGATCTGGGCCTTTGCGTCTGATGCAGATTTGCATGTAAAGCGGAGTATTGTCTGCGCTTTACCGTAAGAGAGAGCTTCCCATTTATATTGGAGGTCCTTTGCTGTCAGATTGTACATCTGACATATGGATATGCCTGTAAAACATGTTCGATGACTGTTCTTTGTGGATTCAAATGTGAAATCATACATTCGTTTATAAGACTTTCTGAGTCCTCCTCTGAGTCTGTAGCTCCAAGCCATTTGAAAATATCACTGCATAAAGAAGACATCTTTAATCAGAGCTGAAAAGAACGAGACACATGCACTGTGTTCAAGAAATGTACGTGTCCAGCCACAAGCGCGACCACTGGTCACGTACATCACAGAAGCAGTCACACGAGTCACATCACACCAACATTCCAGAATTATCATAGATAGCACCTGCAGAACAGACAGATGAATGTGTGACAGTGAGCGCATCCTATATGTAGTTATTGATACAGAACAGATTCAAAACAACAGCAGACTACAGATCAGGGAAGGGTAGCCAAAATATTCTGAAGGTAGATCTTTTTAAATTTGGTGATGGTTCACACATGTTGCCAGTGGGCACTGTGCCACACTGCCAGCGACTCGGACTCGGGAGAGACGGTCATCATTCCATGTGCCAGGCAGGGTAGAGTCCAAGGCTTGTATACATATATACAAGAAACTCCAGACCACTATCTTACCCTTTAGTAATTTATGGTTCCACATGGAAAGTCACTCCAGATGCACTGGGTATGCCTCTCCCTCTGCGTGCTATTAATGCCTGATGCAGACGAATTCCAAGGGGTGTTGACACCGATGCCATAGTATGGTTTCTGGTTGCCCAGTAGTAATATGGGTGGATGTGCGAGATGCGTGGTCCGCCGTGTGCGTGTGAGCACTGAGGGCTATCATAATAGCGATGCTGTCATGAGACCTCAAATGAATGTGTTAAAAATGATGACTTACAGGCAAGATCTGACGTGCAGGATTTGGGAGAAAAACAGGTGTGTCTGTGGGGGATGGCACAGAGGAAAACATGGGTTTGTTGTGGGACCCTTCAATTCGCCTTCAAGTTTTCCTCCATGTATGTCATCCCAGAGTCGACCAGTGTGAGACAGGGTAGGAGGGGCCGATGACTGTGACACGTGGTGGGCAGAGCAGTTGACCTGTGTCACATAGTCAGAAACAGTGTTGGAGGTTATGTGCTGTGGGATAGATGAAGGTGGTTTTTTGAGCTTCACAGTGGTTGGCATTGACGATACACTTTGTGAGCGTGATATGTCACATCTGGGAGTGGAGGGTATCAGTGAGCGATTGAATAAGTAATCAATACCTCTGAGATTGTCGAGTCTCCTGGCACTGCTGCTCGCATATCTCCCCAGGTCCTTCCCTATATGATACTTGTCTAATTCTTCCAGGTTCACACCTAGATCATCTAACGAGCTCAACATATCCCATACTGATATTTGTGAGTGTCCTGAAAGTTCAGCATAGTTTCCACAGACAGAAAACAGTAGAGTGAGATAGCGAGAAATGAGGAATGACGGATGTCTGTGATGATGGCCTCGAGAAATTGTGAGCATGTAAATCTTTAGTCAAGAATAGTCACTGCTGCAGCTTGAGATTCCTGGCACGTCCATGTGTAATCAAGCTAAGGCTGGCATTTAGAGTCAAGAGCATGTAGACCCGAAACTATACCACTCCAGCCTGAGCCTACAACTACCTACCATTATGATAGTGTCTTCAAGTTTAAGCTCTTTGAAGAATCGGGATGTGGATGAGCACAGAAAACAAGGAGAAAGGTAAACGTCTATGTGTCCTCCTGGTCCCCTGCATCAGTGTCTTCCCTCTCTGGCTCTTCTTCCTTGGAATGGGAGCCGCTGAGTTTGAACTCTCTTTTGCAGGACATGAGCTGTTTGTGGGGGACACGCTTAACCCGCCAGAGTGTGATGTCGGCGGTGATGACACATGTGGAATGCTATGCGTGGCTGTGTTAAGACCGTGCACAAAGGGTAGGACTGATTCTAAGGGGCTTGGCTTCAGCTCATGCGCTGCGCCCCTTACCTGAGTATGTGCCCTTAATTTCAGATGATGTCCAGAGAAAGTCCAAGAAAGTCTGAAGGACTTCCAGAGGAGCACGGGAAACTCTGGAAGGACTTTCCAGACGAGTGCAAGCAACTTCCGGAGGAACTTCCGGAAATTACCATGGGGTTTCATCCTGATACGGAGATGTGTAATGGCTACTCAGGACAAGTGCTGAGTAGAAGCAAACAGAGGAAAGGCTGCAAGGACAAAGTCCAAAGCAGAATAGGTCCGGAGGACCGCAGGAAAGTTCCGGAGGAACTTCCGGAAACTCGGAGGGATGGAGGATGGGATGAGCGGAGGAGCGGAGGAGCGGAGGAGCGGAGGAGCGGAGGAGCGGAGGAGCGGAGGAGCGGAGGAGCGGAGGAGCGGAGGAGCGGAGGAGCGGAGGAGCGGAGGAGCGGAGGAGCGGAGGAGCGGAGGAGCGGAGGAGCGGAGGAGCGGAGGAGCGGAGGAGCGGAGGAGCGGAGGAGCGGAGGAGCGGAGGAGTGAAGCTCTGGCCTAGGGAATTCCTCCCTAGGCCTGAGATAGATATTGACTAAGTCGGAGGACTAGAACTTGGTATGAGGACTTAGTGTCATGAGTACCTCACACGAATCACTATTCTTTTCTAAACTCTAAGTCCTTTAAGCGCCCAGTCACAGTGCCTGTACCTAGTAATGTATTTACAGTTGAAGATGCACCTGTGGTTGCATCTATTGTAGAGTTACCCAACGAGCATGTGGTTGAGTCACGTGACTTATCAGAATATGCCAGACTAAACTTTATACCACGTGAACCTGATATGATGTTCCAGAACCTGTCGGTTGCTGTGGCACGTGTTATGACATCATAGATTATATATAGAATTGTACGATACTGTTTCTTATTATTTGATTGGTAGTTAGTTTGAACTCAGTTTCAGTCTCCGACTTAATATATGTATATAGGTAGCTTGTTTGTAGTCGGTAGTTCTTTAGTTCAAACCTCTTGTCTGTACATTGTGTACCAGCCCAGACGTACCTGCTCAATTCTACTTGGTTCTTGTTGCAATCATCTTTGTTTGAGTCCTAGTCTCCGCCCAGCGTTAATTCGTTATTGGGTTGTGACAGCATGGTTGCGCAACACAGCAACTATGTCAGCATTATTGAGATCCCAGTTCCTAGCCACTAGAGGCTCATGTGTTGCATCTGGGCGAGTGACTGTACCTGTGGTGTAACCTTCAAGGAGATTCAGGTGAAAGAACTCCAGCATGAGCTCAGACCATGAGGTCCAGTTATTCTTAACTCTGTCAAGGAGTTTGATCTTATCAAGGTCGGTTTTTGAGAGGCGGCATGCAGTGATAGAGACAGCCAATGAGGTGCCAGCGGGGGGTAATACAGTGCTGGATGGGTCAGTATGACCTGCAGGATACTGGATGATGCAGCGGTCATGGTAGGTGCAGCAGGCAGAGTAGGTATGGTGGGCTGCGTGACTGGAGTGGTGATTGGTTGTGGTACATTAAGTCCAGGTAGCAGTGCCCTGCTTCCGTCAAGGTCGGTTTTTGCACAAGTGTGAGACGCCATGACGATGGTAGGGGATAAAGAAGTGGGGAAGGGTGTAATGACATGAGGGGCGATATATATATGCCTGACACATCTGGAGGATCCTTCGAAGAAGCAGCCTTAATTAGGGAAGTGCTGATGGTCCAGGCATAGAGTATTGATTTACTAGGTAGCACCTGTCAATGGAAAAATGTGTTCAGCACCTGCTAGAACAACAAGTAAGGTGATGTCTGAGGTACACTAAAGCGCTCAGAGAAAGTCCTGGTGATCTAAACCGTCTAGAGGTTCTGGCTCTTTATGCAGAGCCGAGGCTCATAACCTTTAAAAGCTAGACAATACAGTTAGACCTCAGTCCAGGATAAGTGACTGTATTGCTGTACCTAGACAATACAGTTAGACTAAAGTACGTGTTAGCATATAGATGGGCGGGAGACCAACAACATACCTAGTGTTGCTGAAGTCCAGTTTGGTCCGGTTCTTGGGGCAAATTTTCCAAACACTGAACCGAACCTATGGTTCAGTTCAGGCATTTAGTAGAACCCTGGACCGAACACATTCAGGAGGTCCAGTTCGCATTCGAACCAAGTTCAACTAAGCTTGGACCATCTGTTTGGTTGTATAGGCAGGAACAGTCAGCTTACTAACATGAAGAAATCTGGCCCTCGCTATTGCTCTTCCAAGCTGAAAGAGACCAGTAAGGCCAATCAGAAAGGGGCGCTGTCAAAAGGAAGTAAATACCTGAAGCAAAGAGAACAAGAGGTGAATGAGTCTTGTTGATTCTCTTGAACATTCACTCACTGTGTCATATCCTGTATTCCGGACCTACATCCGACAATGTTCCCACACCTCATCCGGACCTTCGGACGCCCTATCCATGTCTCCAGTCCTCTATCCGTCCGGATCCCTGCACCTCTGCACATCCACATCTGCACATCCAGATCCCTTTACCTCCATACCTCAGCTAGCCTGCATCATTCATCCTTTGTCCCATCACCCTAATGTCTATCCATGCGTCACATCCGATCCTATCCGGTCCGGTCCGGTCCGATGTATAGATCCGCTTTCGATCCAATATACGATAAGCTTCTTAATTCATTCCTGTGCATATAACGTTAACACAGCCTATTCTTCTATTCGGTATTCCTTGTCCTCGGTATCTCGGTTATACTTACTACTGGTACGCTTACTGATTCGTTAACCTATGCTTCATTTCCGACTCGCGCTTGATAACTTTGCTTATGCTTCATACATAGCCTCAGACGCTTGATTACTGATCTTTCCGTTATTTCCTTAGTATATAAACTCTTGTATATGTCCTGTAGTTCCTCAGTCGGAATATCATATTAGTCCTCGCACTAGATCTCACTCTAAGTCCTCACATCAGTTCTAGTCTATTGACTTAGTCAATATCCATCTTGGGCCTAGGGAGGAATTCCCTAGGCCAGAGCTCCGCTTATCCGATCCCCGCTCATCCGCTCATCCGATCCTCCAAAGTTTCCGGACGTTCGTCCGAAACTTTCCCGTGGTCCTCCGGACCTATTCTGCTTCGGACTTTGTCCTTGCAGCCTTTCCTCTGTTTGCTTCTACTTAGGACTTGTCCTAAGTAGCCATTACATGTATCCGTATCAGGATGAAACCTCATCGTAATTTCCGGAAGTTACTTGCACTCGTCTGGAAAGTCCTTCGGACATCATTCTGAAATTAAGGGCACATACTCGGGTAAGGGGCGCAGCGCACGAGCTGAAGCCAAGCCCCTTGGAATCAGTCCTACCCTTTGTGCATGGTCTTAACACACTGCACTCGTTGTTTCAGAAACCAACTTGGTGCATGCCAGACAAGGTTGATGACACCACCAGTGGGCCACCTGCAGATGATGAAGCAGTGTCAGCGCGGTCTATTTGTTCACGCAAAGATGACTGGTTGCCTTCTTGTCGCATCATATATAGTAGTTCCGGTAAGGTCAATCTAACCGAGCAGCGACCTCACATCCAGGACTTGCTGTGGGCCTCAATTACCTGCCTTCATGAGCACATCCTCTTCGAAAACACGTACTTGGACCTCCAGCAAAGGAGGAAAATTATGGCCGACATACTCTTGTCATGTGCGAAAGATGGAGAGGAATTCATAGATGTGAGAAAATGGCTTATGAAGGATGCGAAGTATGTACGTGCATTATCTTCTGTGGTATGTGTATCATGTTGCCTTGAGTTTACTACTGTCATCTCAACTCATTTGCAGCCTGAAGGTCATATTGGCACCATTCATGGGAATGTCAGGAAGGCTGCGCAAGCACATGTGGCAAGCCACTATGGTCTCACAAAAGGTGCTGACAACAGGGTCGCGGACCTTCTCAAGAACAATGCATACATTTATCCGGTGAACACGAAGGTTCATAAAATATTTATTGTCTATTTTATGTTTGAGCTGATGCCAGTGGCTTCATACATTACAGGGGGACCTTATCCAAACCAAACCATTTCAAGCGCCGGCGATTTTGGACACCATCGAGGATGCATTCTTCAGCGATGAGCTCGCAGTGGGAGTAAAGTGGCATGATCATCTGACATCAACAATTGATAATCATCCTGATGAGGTTGAGCTGCCTGTCGCGATGGTGGCACTTGCTAGCACTGCAGTATGTTTTAATTGCTGTGGGTATGTTATATGTATTAATCAATCACACAATTCAAGGTGTGCTCCATCATTATGCAGTACTCCTCCGAAAAATTTGACCGAGACTTCAACTTGGACATGTACGGCAGGATCTATCAGTCATTGGTTGGCGTGTTGAATGGCATCTTCAAGGCCAGCGAGCGCAAATTTCACATACTCGTACACTCGCTGTACAAGTCTGTCTGGTGAGTTCTATCTTTTTCGACACTTGTCATTGTCTGATTCCATCGTGTTGTAGTGGGTCGAAGCGCAAGACTGAAGAACCTAGTGCAGCCGATAGTCTCATGTTCCTCAATATTGATGGTATGGCGGAGGATTGATACTGGTCACACATTGTATTGTCTAGATTTCAGATCCAATGGTACTCATTTGATAGCATTGGACAAATTTTTTAACTGCCTGAAAATCATGTTCTGCTTGACGCAAATTCTGTTCTGATTGGCAAAAAGTGAGATCCAATTGTTGAAAATTCTCAAGGGACTAAAATAATGGATCAAATGTTCAAATCCATCAAATTCTCGCAGATTCACGCAAGTTGTATCATATTTCATCCGATTTGAGAAGGACATTTTTCCTGATGTACGCCCCACGACATTATCGAGCTCCTCTTGTACGCCAGCCTGCGCATCTGTGTGAGTGGCAGCAGCCATAATTATGATTGTGATTGCGAACGCAGTCTACAACAGTTGTCAACTTAAGACGTGATGCAATGTAAGAGCTCACTGTTTCAGAACCGGCCCCAAACATCATTCCTGCAATGTATCCAAAATCCTTGTCTTTGAAGTGGGCAACAACTTAGATCAGCATAGCTCGAGCTCGAATGAAGATCAACAGACTAACGAACTGTGAACAGTGGGCAATGACTTGTATCAGCATGGCTGTTGCTCGAATGAGGATTGACACACTCATGACCTTAAAACAGTGGCCAATGTCTTGGATCAGCACAGCTCTTGTTCGAACAAGGAACAGTGGCCAATGATTTGGATCAGAATGGTTCGAGCTCGAAAATCTTGACATACTCACTTCCTGCGAACAATAAGCAACAACTTTGATCAGCATGGCTCATAACATTCCCAAGTAGTACTTACCTATATTGATCATTAGCAAGAGTTCAAAGTGTTTGGAATTCATATAGCGACATAAGATCCCTACATGTTGTGACGGTACAGTACTGTGTCACAGCGCGTCATGACTGCAGCAGGCACGACAGGACCGCGTCAATTTCACCCAGCTCAAACCTGTGCAGGTTGCAGACACATGCATTTGCATATATTGACACATAGTAAATACTTACATATTTAAGAAAAAGTGTGAAGCCTACAAAAATTGAGAGGTTCAAATGGGTTCGAACCTATTCACTACCAGCCCAAACCCCGAACCTCTGGAAAGGTTTGGTTCTGAGTCTTGGCCGAACCTTGGACCGGACCATGCATCTGGTTCGGAAAGGTTCAGGTTCGAACCGAGGTTCGGAACCAGACTGCGGCAGCACTAGACATACCGTCAGTCCAGGACAAGTGACTGAGGGAAAGGGTGCAGCTAAACGAGTCCGTAATATATAGTACATGTTGGCATTCCAACATTTGATGATCCTCTGCGGTTGGCATTGGTATTAGCTCCAACAGATTTACATTCATCAGCAAATCTACACTTCACTTAACCGAGCTTGAAAATGTAAAAATTGTGTTAAGTCAGCTAAGATGACATCAAGTTACTTCATTTTTACTTGACACTACTTAGGCATCTGACTGAGAAAAAATTGCAAGATAATCAAGTAATTTAAGTGACCAAGTTCAAATAATGCACTCAAGATGCTATTTCGAAGGAATGATGATCTGCAAATTTGTTAACATAGAACGCACAGTAAATATCTAGAGTCTCGTGGAATGTAGCTTTCTCTGGGACAAATTCATTGCCAAAGATGGGCAGCAAGTGAGCTGCACGAACAATCATGTCAATATGAATGATTGAGAGCTCCCGAGTGTCCAGCTCTGAGTCGAGAAATGATGGCTTGACCATCCACATTCTGTTTCCAGGATTGGGCTCGTCAGAGACCAGCTTAAACCAGTGTACCAGAGCGCACGGAAAAGTCTTCAAATCATGGCCATAACCTTGATGAAAGGAAAAGAAACATAACACACAGGCAACCTCCATACTGTGTATTCCACCCTCGCTTCGGGTGTTCACAAATATGGTGTCATAGTGTCCTGGCCCTCCACACCACGAAGGGACAGAACGGATATGTTTGTGTCGCATTCCCCCAATACCGCTTGGATCACTTGGTGCAAAGAAAGTAGCTGCTGCTGAGCCAAAAACCTTGATGTGGCCTTCAAATCTGGGGCAAGCACTGAGTGGGACAGTATCAGATGTATGATCATCATCTGCGAGGAGTTGGTCATAGAGAAAAAGGCGGACCAGTTGAGGCAAGTTTGGTACGTCGAGTTCTTTAGCCAGTGCACGAGTGGTGTACAGTCGTCTGTGTTCTTTTGTTGGGTCAGATAATGGTATATGTAAAAGAAAAGACAACGCACGAGGCATGCGTGCCAGTTTCACATCACATTGCACTCGGGCTCCCTCTACTGCACCATCATCCACCTTGCCACCATCGTCCACCTTGCCACCATCATCCGCCTTGCCACCATCGTCCACCTTGCCACCATCACCTGCCTCACCACCGTCCTTCATATTTCCATTGTCCTGCGATGGGTGTTGTGGGCCGATATCTAGTACACAAGTTGTTATTCAGTATGCATTAGTATACAAAATAAACATACATACCAGGATGTGGACCTAACATTCCACATGCTATGAAGTCAGTACGTGCAGCAGCGAGTTTATCGAGGCGCTGGTTTGTGAGCAACATCTGTCCAAGTGCGTTGAATTTGCTTGATCATCGCCATGGTTCTTTCACAGCCTTGATGTGTTTTGACTCTGTAATGGATGAACACACACCATTTGGCGCACCGAACATGCAGATAAGTGTAACATAGTGCACCAGGGAATGCTGATGTGGTAATGAGAATCCATCAAAACGAACACCGGTCTCTTGAAAAATCTTGCAATAATGATGAAACTGGTCAAGGGCCTCCTCAATTTCCTTGAGCGTGTCCTCTGTAATAATATCCTGTTGTACGAGGTAGCAAAATTCAAGGAAGGCACAAAAACACTGGACAACATCATCGGGCACGTGCCCCTCAATTGCAGGTAAATATACCTTCATCAAGGCCTTCGAATCATTACCAGTCCATTGAGTAAAACCATGGCCTTGAGGAAACCGGCGAAGGCCTGCGAATGATGGCGCTGCAGCGATTATGGAGGAACAAATCTGTGGATTAGTAAGGGTCACCAGAGAGATATCACGAGCATACCTTCTGTCTATGTCATCCATCACCACCTTGGCGTGAGTCTTTCCATGTATGCGTTCCAAGTACTTCTCAACCCAGGTGACAAGGTGGTCTTTGAAGGTACCTTTGATAAGTTGATGCAGGATATCGGGGGACAGAAGTTCATGGATGTCAGCACGTTGAAGGTACAACAATTCTGATGGTGAGTCTGAACAATGTTGGGTCTTGCAGAACCTAGCTGCTATTCGACCCTAAAGGGTTTCTGGACCAGGCTCAAGGCTCAGAGGAGAGGAAATATCATGAAAAACTGCTTAGTACTCTGACTCCTACTGGTAACTGGTGAAAAGATAGCTTTCTTATGTAAGCTACAAAAGTGCCAACATAAGGTAAGGTAAAAACAGTCTCTACAAGCCTAGCCAGAAATGAATCCCTACAACGGTCCAAGGGAGCTGACGAGCCTGAGGAAGAGATTGATGAGGAATGTGTCAATTTACTTGCCTTCCGCTAAAGGTAAGTTCACTTCACTGCATGCATTAACTGTTGTCATTCACTCATCATCCTGATTTCCAGATCGCTGTTTCCTGGATGTTCACAGGTGCACTTATGTTTCTCGCCCATTTGGTTGCATTCTCACAAGCTTAGTACGATGATTTGATATCATTGCTGCGTGCTTTTGTGCTATTTTCTCCCATCTCATTGATCATTCCAGTGCTGCATGCTTTTGTGTTATTTTCTCCCATCTCATTAATCGTCTCAGTTGAGCCTGCTACTTGTTTTGTTTCACTGCTACCACACTTTTCATTCTGCTTGGCATGTTTTTGACTTGTTCCTGACTTCATACTTACTCGTGTCTTGTTACGCACTTATGAGTGGTTTCAAGTTGGACAATTTTGACATTTGTTTTGCAAAGCGCGTTAAGACAAATTTAAGCTCAAACATAAGAAAATGGATCTAATTTTTTTAAGTGCAGTGTTCTTACTGGTTCTGGACTTGAATTGGACTTTTGGCGACTCTGACCTCATTGAAGGGAACATTAAGTAATATGCAGTTTTCCTGATGCTTCATTCATACATTTGTATTAGCAAGTCAAATTTATTGGTGCATAAATAGCTATATTTGGCAGAAACAGAATTATGTATTTCTACAGTCATCATGGCTACAATATCATGAACTCAATGCTCATGAATTCACTGATGTTGTTCACATTGCTGTGACATACATTATAGATGCTGTCAATGCAATAAACATATTGCTTGTTTAAGGTGCTATGATCTGCCAAAGGCTTGAATGATGACTTTGAGGTAGATGGATGCTGGTGATGGTACTAGGATGATAACTTGCTTTTATAGTATCATGAAAAGGTTTAGCAAAATGGTTGTAGCTATTTTGAAACGCCTGCCTCGGTTATGATGTACTCATGATGCAACTGTGACGAGGCAAAATGCCATGTCAAGCCAAATCAGTTTATGATTTGTATCACAGGTAAAAATGGTATGAATGATTGCATACCCTGTCGAGTAGACTTTTGATCTAATCAAATTGCGTGTCTTTTAGCTAACAAGCATTCGAGTTATAGCTGGCCAGTCCGACCCATGGTGCTCTATTTATCCCAGACCAGACAGTACGCAAATACCTCCCTCATACACTCATATCATGTACTCCTTCCACCCAATACTGCCTCTGCTCATTTCTCATTCAGCAGTGTTCTGCATATTGCTATATTAACAACAGCACCAATACAAATGTAAAAGTACTCACCAGTTTGTCGCTAGGTTTTTGGTTGGGCCCCCTGCACATAAGAACGCAGTCCACATTCTCGCAACAGTCGCTAGCCGTCTTGCATCTCTCGCCTTCAGGACTACAGCCTTTCCTTGCTGTAACAGACATTATAGATGCGGTCAACGCAATAATAATGGTGGGAAGAAGAAACACATTGTCTGTTTAGGGTGGTATGATCTGCTGAGGTACTCGAATGATCTCTTTGAGTCTGAGATGGGTGGACGCTGGTGACAGTAGGAAGATGACTCACTTTTATATCATCAACAAGAAGGTTTGGCAAAATGGTTGTGCCCGGCGGATGATACTGTGGGACTCGGGAGAACCTATCCCTTCTGGTCATTTCGTGGGTGTAGTGATTCCGGCAGCCACGGAGTTCTACCTTTGTCATGATTCACCAGTGACGCGGTTGTGATGAGGCAAAGATGCCGCGTCAAAGCTATTAGCAGCGTACCCAACTAGCCTACAATATTAATTCCTGATATTATCGTCTACTCTTCCTGTCTCCGCATGGTTTGACGCAGCCTTGGCATATCATGGAGTAAAATTGACACGGCATAGCCAAAGCTTTATGCAGTTTTGCTGAGGTATGAGAGGGAATGGATACAAGTCATACGACATGAATGAGGCTCGCCGCTCGATACAGCGGGGACAAGGCTTGACACGCGAATAATGGTGAACCGTACGTGATCATCGTATCCAAGCGTCTCAGGCTGGTTGGCCAATGTTCACTGGATGAACGTTAGTGCTACTAGAGGCAAATACAGAACGCGACATACTGCAAGGTGACATATCCTGCCTGTATAAGTCCATGCATGCATGATTGGTCTGCACTGGTGAACGTGGACACTTAGTTACTAATGGGACTCAAAAGGGCTGCTCAATTCTCAAAGTTCGCGTTCACGATCCGAGCAAGTTACGACACCCAGTTACTAGAGTCGTTCATAGTGTCGTGGGCAGAAAGGAATTGGAAAGGCAATTGCAAGTGGAAGCGAGGAAGGGAACGGCCACCTTTTCAATTCAATCGCGTTGATTTTATCCTTGTTCTTGTTAGCGCTGGGACTATACTCTGAGACATGGAATTGTTGGCACTTGCAATTAGCAGAAGCTCGAAGCGGCTATTTTAATTTTTGAAGCGGCGCCTCGCACACTGCTGACTCAACGATCCACCTGCCCCCCGTTTCTGCGCATCCCACCACGAAACATGGTCCATGCACATGGATGACCTGGTAAATTCGTTCACGGTGATCGGCCTAATGATGGATCAATATCAAATTTTCTACGATCAGCATAATCCTTTTACTCCCCGCACACCCACGGAACTATGCCGGTTAGTTGGTGCTTTCCAAGTGGTTGTGTCAAATATGACTCGCTTACTGGGAAGCTCCAACTCGCCGGGCCTGTGCGACGTCTCCTCTAGGGCTCCGTGAAAAACTACCTAGTTTTTGACGTTGGAGTTTTTGACAGGTTTTTAACATGTTTTTAACGAGTCGATAACTCGGGGTTGATATTGGGGTGTCAAAAACTAAAATATATATGTATATGATCTCGGGAACATAGCCTATCGAATTTTCCATCCGAACATCCGAAATCACCGAAAAATCGTTAAGATATGACCGACAATCTGTCAACTACCGTCCAATTGAGCGTTCGGCTGAATCGGCTCAATGATTACAACAAAAATTTACCTTGATGAGCTTCTTCGAGGACATTGGGCGCAACAACGCACAGTTGAGCCACCTCCGAAAGGCACTCGCACAACTTCCACATAGTATCCCCCTCGGAAACTCCAAATATAATTTTGAGCACTATGCTCCAGATCCGGAGAGGGTCGAACTCTATGGCAGTACCGAAGCCGCACTGAATAATGTGCTCGAGGTCACATTTGCACCCAGAGGCCGGAAGGATGAGTCGGCACCGTGTCCATTCGAGTTTCAAGATGTCCCGTAGACCAAAAGGCCTCCCTCAAAACCAACAGTTAAGTTTCGTGACCTGGAAAGTACTCTTTTCGATGTCGATCTCGATAGCAATGGTCAGAAAAGGAAACACGACAACAGGCTAACCCGGAGCCGCAGGACTCTAATTCAGACTCGGAGGACAATTGGTTGGAGGAGAGCGAGGACCCGGAGATTGAGCGTGATCCAATGTACTGGTCTTGTGATACGAGAGTACTTGTGGGTAGCGAGGATGCTCATCTTGATGCTCCTCGATTGTTGGACTTACTATCAGAGAAGCCGGTGGAAGGGGCAAGCAGGACACCTCAACTACAGGATAGCACAGTTCCAACGCCTCCGGGAGGGCCTGTACAGTGGGCATTTGCATTACCGTAGCGAAAAAATGTCAAAATGACCTGAAAAAACGCATTTTTTGAGTCTGTCAAAAACTGGTCAAAAACTAGTTTTTAACTCGTGTCAAAAACCCCTCGAGGGTGGGGGTGAGTTAAAAACTCGTCGTTAACTCCGTGGATAGTTTTTCACGGAGCCCTAGTCTCCTCACAATATTTGCCTCCATTGACTCTCCCTCTTTCATGCGTGGAAGTTTTGACCTATCGGGTCTGTGCAACTTCTCCTTACAACGTGTCCGTCGACTCTTCTGTATGTGAGTTCCCATCCGAACGCCACACTTCTGTTGTGCCATTCTAATTGCTACTTTGCAGTATGGAGAACCCGTCCTCATCTAGGTATTATGTGACTCCAAGCGCCTTCTCGAGGCGTGACATTGCAGATTACACAAGTATCATCGAGGAGCTACACATACATCACCTTCGTTCTTCCGCTTTCCAGGTGCTTCTGAGGTGACTTTGATGACCATGTGAGGTGGGAGGCACAACAAGAGTCGCCACTCGAACTATGACTGCGAAGGGGGGTTATTGAGTATATGTTTCAGCTGGTGAGATGTGCGTATCTTGGCAAAAGCTTCAGGAGTGCTCTGAAGATTATCCCGGTATCACAGCAAAGATGGAATAAAGTTGTTCGAAGTACTTGCGCGCCAGCAGGAAGTATTCTCAGTAGATTCAGAACCTCGAGCAAATTCCATAGATCGAAGAACTGCAGAAAATGATCATACTGTGGTCGCCTTCCTAGAACTCATCTACCCTCTCGTCATCAGCCTACTGAGTTGAAGCAGCATACGGCTCTTGTTTCATGTCTCAAGCTCTTCGATTTCGACGCTGTATAGTGAGTAATAGTTGTTCACGTTCACCATACGTCCTCATATCCTGATTTGAATATCCGACGTTTCAAAGCTTTCACTTGGGATGTCCTTTCTCTTTTGGTGCTTATATGTATCTCTATCATATCGACCTCTAAAATGTCTCGCCCACCAGTTGATCTATCTAAGTCTTTCGGCAGTCAAAACCGGTACCTCTCTTGGTCGCGTAATTCCCGCCACTGCTCTGACATCACCCTCTGAACACTTCAAAATTCCTTCAACCCGGCCGCCAGTGGTACTAGTGTGGGCCTCAAGCAATACTACTCGCACCTCACTGATAATTTTTTCTTTTAGTGCATGGCGTGAGCGGAGGGTACAAAGGCTTTGTATGATCCGGAAGGATGCTTTGTATGATCACTATCCGTTCAAACCCCACACATCATAAGCAGCGAGCGGATGCAAAGTCGAAGGATTGCATAGCTATGAAACTAGGAGAACAAGAGCATTTTAAGGTATTTGAGTCACTTCTGATGCTAGATTTGTCCTCTCCTTCATATGTGCCTGGATCTACAGTCGACCTTATGCTGCAATTTGTCCTAAATTGTCGGCCAGCAGTCCGCGACATTGTGAAGGCACCCGGCAAGCGAGCGATATCATACATGGGATCCTTGTCATCCTAGACTCGCATACATAGCACTCATGAAAGTATCTGTGAGTACCAGCACTGTCAGGCCCATATTATGATTACACGCTTTCACCACTCTACTATTCTGGCGATCGGCTTCTTCTTTGGTCACTTTGACGCTGATAATGGCCCTTGCGTTCGTCGCACAATGCACATAGAATCTACTGATATCATCATCTGCGGGGTTTAAGATCTACATCCACTGCAGCTACAGACGACTAATACAAATATGTGCTTCCACTCGCTACCTGGTAACCACCAGAACGGAACTAGTGCAGGTAGGTCACCTTTAATAATTATCGCCTGTGTCTACATCGCCGGCGCCAAGCTTCGATCACGGCAGCCTGGGCCCGGTCAGGAAGCAAGGGCACGAACAATGGGTCTATGATTATTTCAAATCACGGCAATAGCCATACGAGTTGTAATAAGAATTGCACACGTAGCGACAACGGTGCATACCAGTTGGGCAGTTGGACCGCACCAACCGTGACCGGACTCCCACCTCCAGGGACTGCTGGCATCTGTGATGCCGTACTAGGTACCCCCTAAGAAGCTGAGTTAGCATGATTTTGCGTGTGAAGTCTTCTTCCTGGGCGACAACCACTGTCACCCCATTCCTTCGGTAAGGTTATACGATCGACGATCAAGCTCCAGGTCGACTACATCGCAGGAACAATTCATAGGAATGATAGAAGGGTAGAATTTCAATACAGCACCAATTGCAGTCAGTCCCGAAGTCGTCTAAATACCCTTTGTCCGAGATCCGCAAGAATCACTTGAAGTACATGGGCACACTGTCATTTCGTAAATATCAATAATATCTAAGGTCTGTTTCAGTGTAGACGTCCAAACCCTCTTTCAAGCGTAACCAAACGACTCGATGTGTAGAGTCACACTCGGCCCACCGTTGGCTACACTGAGAGGACTAGAAACCGGGAACCGAAGAGCACCACGAACAGACCGAGTTATACTCTGTGAGCCACACACTGAAAACAGAGTCAGTGTCACCATAATTTGCAGCGTATGGAGGCAAAAACTGACCGCTAACAGACATCCTGCCTGTCGCCACTGTCACTTCGTCTCTGAGGATAGCCCGGAGGTCGGCCCTTTGATGTACGAGCTTGACTGACTCTATCGCGAAAAGGGAGTCATTGCTTATTTCCATAGCTTTTCCATCCTGCAACTCAACCACCTCAGAGCGGGAATCGTCGCGCACAGGTTTGACGTCGTCAGTTCGGCCATACGATCCTGGCAAAGTCTCAGCAGTTTCTGGTGTACCGGTAACATGAATGTGGATTGAAATAGATAGAGAAGGAGGCGCAAGCCGGAGTGCCCGGATAAGCACATCGTCGATCCAGTGAATATGATCTGAGGAGCATAGACACATTAACCTCGCCACAAGCCTCGTATTACCAATTCTTACCGATACTCCGAATTGACCAGATGAAAACAACACGACGGCACCTGCTTTCACCGTTGCGGACACGCCTGAAACAAAAATCAGGTTAAATATACAGAATCGATAATGCAGTCGACATACTCTATTGTATCCAACAATACCGGTAGCGTATACGAGACTCCGGATCCACCTGAATGCGGGACATGCATGAGCAATGTTCGACATGTAGAAAGTTCAGCGACTAACCAGCAATGAGCACAGATGTGTCATATGAACCCAGGTTAGGAGAAGGCCCGTATGGCCCATCGACAAAGACTTTTACTTTGTCACCTTTCAAGGCAGCATCTTTCAAGCGGGCAGTGAACCCCTCCCGCACGTTTATGAAAAATACGAGCTCTTTCCAGAACGGAGCACTAGAACCAAGATTCCCTTCTGCAAGGCTCATCTCAGCATATTTTTCACTTGCTGGTTTCTGTTCCTTAGGCACATCAAAAAGGGTCGAATTGAAGCTCGCAATGGTGAAAGGGTGGGCCTCGAATGGCAAGCGTGAGACGGACGGCATGATGAGATAGGCAGTTTGCCCGGGCGTCCAGTGGAAATGAGACGGGCGGTGGAAACGCAACCGAACAAAATCATCTGATAGGAGTTCGGCGGTCGCGTCCATCGTAGACCCTGACCTGAATCCGAAGTATGAGTGGTTGAACACCACTAGACGAAGGGTCCGAATGAGCCTGTCCAATCCCCAGATTATGAAACAGGGGTAGATCCAGAAGGCGACGCTGGTGATTATCAGTGTGGAACATGTAAGTCGTGTATTTGATGAAACTCACTCAGAATCTTGTGTGTGGATGTAAGCGCCGATGAGGAAAATGCTGAAAATTTGTGTGAGTGTGACAAAGAAATAGAACTGGAATTGGCTCACGAAACCATAGCGAAATGAACGTAGAAGAAAAGCTCGTATGCTTGGGCTCGGACGGGACGCAAGGAGACGACACATAGAATGGCAGATGCGACCATGGAAACCAAGCCCCATAAGAGCCACGGCTGCGTAAAGTATGGTTGGAATCTGTGTCGTGTTAGTGCATTGAATCCTTTATACATGTTGCACGTACGGTGCATGTCGGACAACCTCGCCGCCTACATGAACCCAGAGCAAGACGAAGGCGACTCTAGACATCATGCGATGAACGTAGTTGAGCTTGAAGAAAAATCACGTTAGAATAAAGCAATGGCGAATATCGTGAATAGATTTACCTTGTCATAGCTGATACCGGTGATTACTGCAGGCAGTCAGCAAAGCAAGTTAATATGCAAGCACAGAGGCCGTACAGGATACTATGTTGTTTTTAGTTCCAAGTGCAGTGATCAGCGGGAACTGGCTCGATGCCAGCATGCCTGAGCGGTTGCACCAGTATGAAATGTTCAATTTGTGGCCCTGGAGGTCGGTTGCTAGAAGCTCTCTCAGAATATGCGAGTGACATCGCCAGGGAACTCACTGTTGATAAATGTCCATACAAAAAGAAAAATGATGTATGCCACAGTCACAAAAACCTCAGCCATGTTGAGGGTGTACGACTTTCCAAATTCGAGTGTCCAGCGGAAAGAAATGACACGGTACGCATTGACGAGTCCCAATGGAATGCGACGCCAAGAAAAAGCATGACGACGATGCACAGAAGCATGTTCTGGGTCGGAGGCGTTGGACGCTTGACGCCTCCCGGCGAACTTGGAGTGAAGGAAAGAGATCCATTGGAAGATGGCAATGATAAAAATGAAGAGTCCAATGCAATACCATGCTTGTTTCGGGTACAGCTTGTTTCGGGCGCCTCGCAGAAACTTGTCGGTGACAGCCATGAATGAAAAAGGGAGCCCAAGTAAACTCACACCAAGGAGTTGTCAGACCACCCTCGAAGCATGGCCCCCTTTATAGTCGACGTCCACATATAAGTTGTATGTATACAGAAGTGCCTGGAAAAAATAAGAATTATCAGATAATCGCCCAGATGAAAGAAATATGCAAAGAAATCGAACCCGTAAGATTATGTAATCAAGCTCTTGGCTCTAATTGGCACTCCGCGAAACTTTTGAATTACACACGACCAGACGTGTGCGTGCAAGACCGTCTCCACCTGCCTAATAAAGCACCAGCCCCGTAGCATCCAATTGACACTCATAAACGGCGATCTGATCGTTATTCTGCATACTTACCCAGCTACTGACATTCATAATGCATCTTGTTGTTAGTACACTATTTATCCATTTTACCAGAGCCTCCCACCCGTGTGCATCAAAGATCTGAAAAGAGTCTTATTACTGGATGGACAGACCTACAATGTTGTCCGCATTTCTTGGCAGGATCGATCGATATTACCTAGTGGTCCGAAGCTCGTCGGCTCTAATCGGGCGGCTTTAAAGGCTAAGTCGGAGTTATAGTTCAATGGACGTTCCCCCTCAATCTTCCCGGTGCCAGATCTCTGGGTAGGTCGTGTCTACACACATGCCATATCAGTACCTCGCCAAGTTAACTCGTGGGTCGATTGAACCCTTTCTCCGCCGTCGCTAGCCTGTAGGTAACTGTTTCTCATAGAATTCGATAGGTCAAAAAATGTACGAAACCAATCACCCCTGTCCAAGCCTGTCTGAATCGTCTTCTTATCTGATAACGTCTGATAAGGTACCATGACAGGAAGGTTCCGGTTTAGTACATTGTAACTAACCACCTGTATAATACCATAATAATAAAATTAACACTTTCGGCACCGGCGCTTGCCACATTGCAAATAGAGGCGACTGGCTGCAGCCACTAGAGTCGTTCGGGCGATTGTTTGCTCCGAAACAGGCAAGATTCACATCTTATAAAATATCCCACAGTGATACGTGTCCACCTCATAATGACAGATGTCGAGCACTTGCCGGGCTGCCCGGGCAGAGACTTGACAATACATCTTGTCTCGTGCGCTGCACATCTTCGTCTTCAAGCATCTAGTGGAAAGGTCTGTCATGGAGCTAACTAGCGATGAAGACACGAGACTCATGGTGCAGGTCATTCTGAAGACCAGGGAAAATGGGTATCTTTTCGAACAATGTGCTATTTATTGTCATTGGTCGAGTCAAGAATTTCACCATAACTCGGACTATGGCCCGATTGACATGTTTAGTTCCTCTCAGAACCATTGTTTGATGCATCATTTCATCACAATCTCAGGTACATAGCTTCCACGGCAGAACGAAAACGAGGCGTATCATCAACATTGTAGCCTGGAAAAGTATGTGAGCACACCGGAATGATGCGATATTTTCGGCCCCCTAATGCACAGAAAACAGACATGTGGCGAATCGCAATTTGTGCAATAAGCGACCCTTTCTTTCGTCATTTAACGCAAAACGACCATTGGTGTTAAAGAAATGTTAATAGCACCAGGAGCTGTCAAGCTAAAATCTTTATCAGCACTAATCGGTCAATTTATCCCTGGGCCCCGTTCATCCAAAAGACTTACATAGACCTGGAACGTCTAGCTCAGGACTAGCAGGAGTCCTGCATGTTTACTGACATGTCCGTCCGTCGTAAAATCACATTCGTGGCGAGCTCGTGTCTGCTACCTTGAGATCACTGAGGGTGGGATTGTCCGATTGACTCAATAAATGTCAAGTTTAGGCCCGAGATCATCGGTGTGATCAACTTGATGTTTGTAGACATCCACAGCGTACGCGTTTAACCAACTTCAGTTTATCGGTGACAGGCGCTACCTGAGGCACACCGTTAATTGCCCGAACCGCAAACATGGGTTCTGACAGCTCGATAGGCCCTGCGTGCCTTCTTTAGCTTTTAAGAACGGATCCTTGGGCTTCTGATGAAAATGTCTCAATGTAGCAGCCCAAGCGCGCACAAGACTCAGACACGGCAGTCAATGTATCAGGTACCTGATTTGTGTCAAGTCCAGCAACGGGATTCTGGAAGGAATATGTCGGTAAGAGGAAATAAAAATACGAGAGGAAAGGACGCACAAATATTAAAGTAAAAGGAAAGACATACAGACTCGAATTTGAAATACTTATCTTAGCTCATCTTATTGACCTTGAGAGGCAACTCTCTACGATTTCAATTGCCTGCGCGGCTCTTCGTGTAGCAGCCCATCCAGGATGTTAACACAGACTTTGGGGTCAAAGCTGTGTTTGCCGTTCGTTTGAACGTGATCACGGTGTATCCTGCTGCCATGCGATTAGCACCGGCTTACGAGTAAGTAGACGGAGCGTTACAGACGTGAGATGATGCTTGGCGAGCGGGCCCTGCATTCTACATCATGATATACTGAATGGACAGAAATTGGACTCGGAAAAAGCGCGCCCCAGCCAGGATTGAGTTGTTTGTCCTTGTTGTTTTGTTCGACTTCCTTGTTTTGGAAACGGTAATAGATGATATTCTGAATTCAAGTTCGCGCTGCCGCATGAACCAGAATAATCACAAGCACCGAACAGTATCAGAGTCAGTGACTGAGCACGAGCACTGACTACTGAGTAACCCCGGCGCGTCGAACGCCACATCGAACAGGCCCGTCGGACCAAAATATGAACTCCTAAGATGGGTGGGCCCTTCAACAGAACCCTAAGGCACAAATCAGATTGCGGGTCAATCAAGACACCGCTGAGGAACCAAGAGGAAAACCAAAAAAAAAAAATCATGGTGTGCTCTGACAGACCCTGACCAGCTCCCAACAAGATCAATCACCAGGGCCCTCTGAGGACCCTTATTTCAGAATCAGCTTACTGATCTTGACAGTGAAACTTATTAGTTACCTGACAACCCTGGAATATAAAGTTGACTTATCTTACGAGCCAGTAAGCCATCCAAATTTAGGATACCCTAGCGGGTCAAAAATTCCCATGGCATGCCGCGCACCACACACACCGTAAGAGCGTTTTCTTCGGATAGGTGTATCAGGGGCTATTTAGCACTTGAGCTTGAGGTGCAATTTAGGTATGTTTCGACGTTTCGATCCAAAACAGAATAAGCGCTAAAAATGACCACCGCAGGGGTCGAACCTGCAATCTCCTGATCGCCGTGTCATCGTAGTCAGACGCGATGCCATTTCGCCAGGCGGCCATGTATGCATGGATAAACCCCTAGATATTTGGGGAAAATGTCCAGTGGGATACATGAGTACATAAGACAGTGGTAGCATCTAAAACATCATGGATAAAGGGTAGAAGCCGTTACTGGCCTGGTATACTGTTATTACAGGGGTATGGGTATAGGATTGTTTAGCATAAAGTTATCCCACATAAACCATCGAGGTATAAAGGATGAAAAAGACTACACCTTGTAAAATGTCTTTATATCAGAAAGAGGATTCAGTCTTAGCACCAGTCTGTTGCGGCTCTCCACTCGGGGGCCTCTCTAATCCAACATAAGCATACACGTGCTCGCGCGCCGCGGGTATTGAAGCCCTCAGACGGCGCTGGACATCCCTGAAACGTCCAGCTGCCTTTCTGAGTTCAAGCCTGTCCCAAACATGAACAGCCTGCCTAAGCGAGCCACGGCGGCGTGGCAGCATCCAAGACCTTGCACGCAAGGAAGTAAAGCCTAAGCAAGGGTAGCGCTAGGGCTCAGTGACTATATTTGAAGTACAAGCGGCGATACTGACCTGATGCCGTGACAGTTCCTTGGCTGACGGGCTGAGGCTTTGGGGATTTGGCGCGCTTGACGAACCCCTTCAGGCACCCATAAAACCAGTATGCGTGAAGAGGAAATATGCAAGCCATGATCAGGCCTGGGCCATACGAATCATTCGCAACATGGTGCCGGCTGGCGACCATCGATACACATAAGACTACATGAAGAACAATACGAGTCGCAAAAAATGACATCGCGAAAACCACGTCCGAGCGGAAGCGAGGGTTGAGACTCGCAATGGCGAGGAGGAAGGTAGGTGCCTGTATTAAGTTAGCGCTCTTGTGAGCCATAAGAATTGGAGTTTCACCTCCATCACAGCAGACAGCGCAAACAGATGACTCCAGCCCTGACGACAGGCATACTCGACGATGAAAATGTATATCGTGTGATGAATCCAGCCTGTTAGCAAGTTAACCTTGCTACGGTAGTAAATCACACCCATCAGTAGGTCTCTATAAATACATCACATGAGCGCACGTTTTAAAAGCGGAAACTCGGACCTACGTGACAAGATAAGCTTGAAAGAATCGACTGGTGCTCTCCGTCCAAAGTGTCGACCTTATCCCTCTTAAATCTCCACGAGAACCGACGTAGAGAAAGAAAAGAGGTAAACTTGACAGAGACATCGCAGCGCTACTGATTGTGGTCAATATCCATGATTGTTGTTTCACGGTGGAACATAAAGGTGCAAAGATGTGATAAGCCACTATCAGCGCCAGAAGTGAGTACAAAAACGCAGGGGGTATCGCATCCTCGATGGACACGTCGAACATGACACGAACGTGAAGGGGCGAGAGAAGGAACCAACGTCCCGCTCATCGAGTTGTAATTTTAAAGAGCCCAATAATGGCAGTTTATGGCACGTTTACCGATATGGTGCGAGCCTTGGCAAAAACTTCGCAGCCTGAAAAATCCATTTTTGTCAATACAAAATACAGGCATTCGCTGTCACACGGACGGACTCGGGACTGCAGCTGCATCACCCTAGAGTCTGCCACACCAACCTGAAGGCCCGAAGGGACACACAGTGCCATGTACAGCTTTCTGACAGCGACAGTACTACTAGTAATAAGACCCAAGAGCGCCTACTACTGAGTTTTGGCTTTGCACGTTGTTCGTGTTAAACGAACGTGCACGACGGTCCTACATGTGAAAATTTGGTCATAAGTGATTCACCAGTAAA